TCTGACCTGAGGCTCCGAGCAGGAGAGCACGGGTGAAGAAGCTCAGAGAGGAAGAATGGGCAAGACCATTTAAACTCACGAGCACGTGGAACAACGCGAGTTCGGTGAAGCTGCAAGATGTTTTCTATAAGGCTAACTGAGATCAACAAACACAGAAAGGTCAAATAAAGAGCTGGAAGCTTGTGCAGCCGTGTGTGTGCGTCTCTGGTTGTGTGGAGAAGAAGGCGTGTTCGTGTTTGCTGTGGGAGGACTGGGACGGTCCGGGAAGGGAGAGGCAGACCTGTGGGTTAGTGCTGTTCTTCCATTTAATAATAAGGGCGTCGGCAGCGAACAAAGGCACAACTAACTGACAGCAGAGAGGACAAAAGAGACATGTTACTGGAATTCAAACTGTGCTGCTGTGTGTGTGCAGGCTCGCACATGAGAAATATCCGCTCAACAAAAGAAAATATCTTTAAAAGATACAATAAGATATTAAATCTATTCTGCATGAATAAAGCTGCAGAGTCCCAGGTGCGTTTCTGACAGAAAACCACAGAACTCTCATCCTAAACAGCCAAAAGGAAAACACGTATACAAAATAACTCATTAATTTATAAAGGAAGTTTAATAAAATCAGAACTTATTTCCTGCAGAATTTCCTTCCGTTTCATTTCAAGTTACAAAATGCAATATTAAAAAAAAAGATTATTCTTAATAATTGCTGAATTATGTTTTTATTTCATTAGAATGAATAAATGAAATATCCTTCCACATCAAAGGATATTATAAAAAAAGAAATGGGATTGGTGTCTGTTGCTACCAGCCTGTCAGAGTTTGGTTCTCATTGCCGGCAGTATGTCGGACCCCCTTGGATGAATAAATATCCTTTCATCATCTCTCGTTTACTCAAATAAGCCGCTCTGAGGACACGAGAAGATTTTTAACCGGTCTTTACTTGCAAGGGCAGATCGGTCATGAAAAGTCTTTCACAGATGCTTCGAGCCTTGTCAGTGAGCGAGTATCTGCACCGGACAGTGAGGCAGGAAGTGTTTTTTAGAGTGCTTATCAGACAGTCACTGGTGACCTCGGTCTGCCAGCTGTATATGCAAACTCCAATCAGCTCCTCCCTGAGCAGACAAACACTCTGACGTCACATGGTTCAACATTAATTTAACATTGGTTAGTGTAAACATCCATAACCTTTACCTAAATCCCCTTGACAGCCTTCATGGTGGGAGTTGGACTCTGCCAGGGCCGCCCGTTGTCACTGTTCTTCTGATTCTTTTATGGACAGAAGTTCTTGGTGCAGCCAGTGGGCAGAAGTAGTTAGGTTCGGTGGTCTCAGGATTCCGTCTCTGCTCTTTGCAGATGATGTGGTCCTGTTGGCGTCATCGTGCCGTGATCTCCAACTCTCACTGGAGCGGTTGGGATAAAGATCAGCACCTCCAAATCTGAGGCCATGGTCCTCAGTCGGAAAAGGGTGGACCGCTCTCTCCGGGTTGGGAGTGAAGTTCTGCCTCAAGTGGAGGAGTTCAGGTATCTTGGGGTTTTGTTCACGAGATAGGGTGGGAAGTTCATTTATCCAAGAGATACTCAGGATGGAGTTGCTGCTCCTCCATATTGATAGGAACCAGTTCAGGTACCTGTTAAGGAATGGATGCCCCCTTGATGTCTCCCTAGGAAGGTTTTCCAGGCATGTCCAACTGGGAGGAGCTCCCGGGGGAAAACCCAGAACACACTGGAGAGACCATGTCTCTCAGCAGACCCGGGAACATCTTCCATCCAGAAGAGGTGGAAGCGGTGACTGAGGAAACAGACGTCGGGGCCTCCCTGCTCAAGCTGATGGATGGAGTGGTGAATGTTTTGCTGTTGATATTGTACTTGAAGAAGTTCGATGGTAAACATTTAAATACTAAAGCATCATACCCATTACTTGTGCAAGCAACAGCAACCAGTCAGTAAATCGTCATTAAAGATGCAAAAAATGAACAGAACTCTACAGTACGCAGAAACAGGAAACCAGAATAAATGCTGGTTTAACTTTTCACTGATGGAAAAAAAAAAAACTGAACATTGACATGAGGTCAAAAGGTAATTATTATTTCAACAGCCAACCAAAACAGTTGTGGACAGAGTTTCAGTCTTCAACTTGACCAGTAATGAAGAAGTCAGTACTTGTTGGACCAACAATTAACTGTAAAAGTGAATGTTAGAAACACTGAATTCTGCTTTGAAAACAAAAATGGACAACTTTCCCAACTGATAAGAGCTGGACTCTTTATCTTTTGTTATTTAGAGTGTGTTGAATTTGCAGCAGGGGAAGGAAACAAAAGACCGAGCGGTTTGTAGAAAGGATCAGAGCGTTATCGCACACAGCAGCAGATGGAGGCGTGTGAGGGAGCATGGAAACATTGAGACGTTATAAAGGAATGCGTTCAGATACTTCTGAAGGTTGTCTGTACAAACAGCTGGGACGTCCATGTGTCGCACAGCATCAGCGTGTTCCAATAATCCTGACCAATGAGCCACAGCTAAAGGTTTTAAAGACATTAACACACGTCTGAGAAATACTTTTCCACTCAGTGTACACACCGAAATATCATTTGTGTAACAGTTCTATAGTTGTTAAACTCATTACAGATTAAATTCAACATCCTTAAGAGATATTTCAGTCATTTTGAGATGGGAATATTCAACTAGTTGTAGATTTTTCAGTTGCCTCACTTTGGAGAAATGGAGTTTAAATCTGATATTTTCAAGCGTAAATAGCATCAACAGTTGGAACTATTGTAGCAAAGGAATTTCAAAATATTTCTGTCAAAACCAACATGTAATGCTAATTACGGCTATGTCAAAAGTTAAATAATAGTGGGAATAGAAGAAGGTGCTATTTATAAGACAGAGTTTGTTGTGGCTCCTCGGATTTTGGATGAAAGACGAAATGTTTCAACACAAAGAAACCGTCCAGAAGACCTGACTTAACTTTGTTAGATTAAATAATAGTAATTTTATTAAAATGCTGTGAAAAAAAATTGAAGTTGGAGTCGTTTTAAGATGGCAGTGATCCCCTTTAAGAATAGAGACAAGCTAACGACGGCTAATTCAAGCTGACGCACTTTAAAAGTGAATTCTGCCATTTTTTAAAACTCCAATCTTGAAAACGTCAGTGATTTAAGCAAAAACTATTATTTAAACTTTTTCATAGCCATCAACTTGGCATTCATGGTTGTTTCAGCAGAAAAACAATGTTTTTTTTTTACTGGAGAGCCTCTTGGCTGCACAGGAAGTGCTACAGCCAGTGCCACGGTAAGTGCTTGTAAATAATTAAAGAATTTCATATAAACCTATGTATTGTAAAATTCATGACAAAGTGAGTGTTTATAAAATTAATCTTTTCATGATCCACTGAAAAATGTTTGAAAACTGGAGTTATTTTTGGATACTTTGACTCTGTTGGCAGCTAATAATGGCTAGTCTGAGACAACCCATCTTTAAAGCCAAATTTTCTATTTTTAGTTTATCTTTAATCTTCAAATGTTACAATAACTAACAGTACTCTAGAAACCTTTACATTACCATTAATTTCATATTACACGGTTTCTTTTAGCAGAAATACTACAAAGTTCTTCCCAAAGAGCCCCAAGGCTGCACCAAAAGTGCAGCTAACGCCGTAAGTAGCGCTCGCAACTTCTTTAAAATGACTTAGAAATAAAAATCACCGTCATGTAAAGGTTTCTAGAATAGAATTAAAGCTCACTTCTCAAAATGAGGCTTTTCAAAACGCCATCTGTAACTTGATATTAATATTTTAGAACTTTTCTGCAGATCCAACTTCAAAAAAGGCTGAAATATATTACCAATCATACCCATCTGCTCTCAGCAGACTCATGTTCAGGCTGCTGTTTAATACACTGTATTATATTACAATACTGTTGTTTAGCATACATCTTAGAGCCTTGTATACTGTTTCTTTGTTTATACTTCATATTTTTGCTATTTTGGGTGTAACTGGGACGCTGTGTACACAATTTTGTTCCACCTCATGTACCACATGTGATGTGAATGACAAAGAAACTTGAATCGCTTCAGGTTTTGAGGCAATTTCAAAACGTTTATTGTTCATTTTATCCAATTTTTATTTTATTTGGTTTTAGGCAAGATAAATATTAAAGTAAGTGTTTTCTGAAGCATGATGAAAAAGCACCATTGTCCTTTTTTAAAATCAGAGCAGCAGCATTCAAAAGTACTCAGAAGAGAAGATGAAACAAAGCAAAAGAAGATGTGGGAGTGAATTAGACTTTGAATAAAATATAAAAAGTGAAACGTCAGTGTTTGTTGAATCATTCCGACAACAAGGAATTTGGCTTTTATTCACTCCGTCTCTCACGGAGAGAAGGAAAAACCGAAGGGAACCAAACCAACACAGCAACAGCAGCAATCTGGGCATGAGCACAAATCTCAATTCTCAAATCAAAAACTTTTATTTTGAATTCATCTTTGGGACATCATACAGTGAAGAACCTCCCCTACTGCTTCTGGAACCACTGATGCCTCCTGCCATGAAGGCAAGCGATGAAGTTTTCCACAGTGTCCATTACCAAAATACCCAATGAACTACTGGACCAGTTTTAATTTAATTAGACTGGACAAACAGCTGATTAAACTTTGGAGTCAATCTCATCCAAGATATCCATCACAGTTAGCCGACTTAAAAAAATGTTTCTATATAAAACTCAGTTAAATTTACTGATATGAACCTAACATTTGATGTGGCAGTAGCTGAGAGTAATCCCCAACACATATGATGACCACTAACAGATTTTGCAAGATTATTTTAATAGTATTTGGAGTGAACTTTGTCTGTCTGTCTGTTAGCAAAATATCACCTGAACCAATGGTTGGATTTCACTGAAACTTCCAGGAAACAATCACTGGATGCACTTTTACAACTGATTAACATTTGGAGCATATCCCATTCAAGATGGCCGCCACAGCCAACTAATCTGCTTGTTTCTCACCTTGAAGCTGCTTAACTCTTGCTTGGTGAAGCCATTGCTGTGGATAATTTTCATCTGTTTGACCAAAGTGCTTTTCCCACTTTCTGCTGCACCTGTAGGAATGGACGTCATCGTTATCCCACCTGGTCAGGTTTGATCAAGATGTTCCAGGAATGATTCATGATCAGGATGAAAAGTTATTTCAAGGGAAGAGTCTCACCTAACAGGAGGATTTTAACCACATTCATCTCCTGCTTTGCGCATTCGTACAGGTCTCTGTCTATCTTGGAGCTGCGTATTCTGGCCTTCTTCTCCTCCTCTGTGTCTTCGGTTCCGAGGCACAGTCCCATCCCGAGCACTCATCTCCTCCCAGAACCCGCTCACACAGGAAAACAAACCCAAAACCCAGGACCAGTCCACAGAAAAGCGTCCTCAAACACGGACTTCAGGTCACCTGGTCGTCGTTCGTCAAACGCTGCAGCCAAACGGACTTTACGCATCGCTCCCGGAGCTGTCTCCGCCTCTCTGTCAGGAAAAAATCCTGACCTCAAGGCTCGTTTCCCTCCGAAAAACAGCTCAGTTAATCCCGAATCTGCTGCCTCCCTCTGCAGCCCAGATGGAAACCTTTTTTAACTTCCCTGGGAAGTGACGTGCTGCTGTCCGCTCCGCGCGCTTCACCTGAACCAGCTGCGCGTTTTAAAGGTGAATTATCACCACCAGCTTCAGACAACCTGAACAATAATAATAATCATAACGCACAGCTCTTAGAAATTAATGTTTTCCACATTAGGACAAAACTTCTTAAAGAAACTTTGAAAGGTGTCGGCTGCTGCTCATTGCAAGCGACATCTGGCATAAAATAAAGATAATCCTGATTATTAATGCTGCAGTTTGAAAGAGTTTATCTCCGGTTGTTTTCCACATGTACTGACATTCAGCTCTGAAATGCAGGTACGCACTCCATGTAAACAAAGCACTTTTATCTGCATGTGTTTCTCACCAAACCTCAGTGCAAACATGTTCTACACGAATTACTGGTGTGAGAAAGAAATTGTGCAGATTTTGTCTCTTCATGAACGTTTAACCATCTTGACGTCGCGACAGTCTCTTTAATCTAAACTAAGAAAAGAACGATGACATTTTAATGTCGAAATGTAAAAAGATCAAAAGAAACGTTAATAGTTGCTGTCTGTGGCTCACGGTCGCCGTGGTAACAACACAAATGTGTCTGTCGCTCCCTGATTGCAAAGTTTTTAAGAGACAGACAGAAACGGACTGAAAAGTAAGCCTCAAACAAACAGTCGCTGTGTGAAAACTGCAAGTTGGATTTTACAAATTCTTGAATCGTGAGCGTCAGAAGAGTCATAAATGTGATTTTTTTTTTTATGTTTCTACATTATTTTATGTAGGAGATATGATAGCTTTGTAGAGAACTTTGTTATACTAAAACACATTTAAACTTTGCGTGTGCACTCTGCATGGGGGATTTAAAAGAAAACCACAAATGAGACACGCAGGATAAAAAACAGACAAAGATTACTTATGGTTTAATGTATCATTTGTGTACCAAGGAGAGGGAATGAAAAAGGTGAGCAATTTTTCAAACAGTTAAGAAGTTAGAGTGACACTATCAACTGTCAGCTGAACAGTGTGCAGAAAAACTGTTAAAATCAGAAAATTTAAACTGTGAATGTATAAAATTTACAAGACATCAAAATGCCCGTTCAGATTTCTAAAGTTCGACTTTCTATGAGCTGTTTAAGCTCTGACTGATGTTTCAGCTGTGAAGAGCTGCAGAGCTCCATGTCAGCGTTTTATTTTTAGTTTTCTGCTAATTATGATTTATTGGCACTTTCCCCAACCGAGCCTCATGTTTAGTTGTATAATTTTATTGTTGCACCAAAAAACACAGAAGATTTTCTAACAGAATGCGGGTGCTATATTTAGGCAATATAAAGCCACCTCTAACAGCAAGAACTGGATCTGTCAACTTCTCAGTGTCCCTCATCGCTGTAGAGGAATGTTGGCTCGCTCTTTTTAACCGCTTCTCTTCGGTTCATTGACAGTCGTGGGTTACGTGTTTAAGCTCAGTTGTTTTTGAAGCTTTGACAGGTTTGAGATCTGAACTTAGATTGACCAAACGGAAACATCTTGATTTGCCTTTTCAGCTGTCCCGTCATAAATCCTGCACCGTAATCAGGTTTATTGTCCTTGTAAACGGCCCAGCTGGGGACACGTTTCAGCTGTTGGACAAATGGCCTCACGTTATTTCAAAGCATGAGGTCCTTGTGGATCACAGAAGAGCTCGTGCTCAGCTGAAGGACTGCTGCTGTCTGGGTCCTGTGGCTAGAAAACAAGCCTGGATCATCATTCCTCCACTGCCGTGCTCAACAGTTGGTGTGATGTAATTATGCTGGTCTTGTCGTTCCAAAGGACATTGTTCCAGAAGTTCTGAGGTGCCAGTCTTTCTGCTGGAAACCACCAGGAACTAGTCGTACTTTTTCATAGTTTTCCTTGTGATTCAGCCGAGAACGTTAACGTTTTACATGCTAAGTGAGGTCTGCACTCCGATCTTAGATATTTTTATTCTGGGTTTTAATGAGACGACACTCCCTCCTGAGAAGATAAACTGCCTTGAATGTTTTCAATGTGTTTATAACTTTTCTCATTGCAGAAATATGTTTTTATGGAAATTGTCTCAAAACTCTGCCCAGATTGATTGGAGAGGCAAAACCAGATTCTCTGAGATCAATATGTTTTTGTTTCTTTCTTGGTAATGTATTAAGGGTGACACTGTGGTGCTGCTGGTAGAGCTATCGCCTATCAGCACAAAGGTTGCCAGCTCAAATCCCGGCTGGGGGCCACTCTAGATGGTTTGCATGTTCTCTCTGTGCATGTGTGGGTTTTCTCCAGATACTCCGGTTTCCTCCCACAGACAAAAACATACATGTTAGATGGATTGGTGACTAGAAATTGTCCCTTGATGTGAGTGAGAGAGTGAATGGTTGTTTGTCTCTATCCCTGTGATGGACGGTGGAAGTGGTCTCCAGCTACAAGTACTTGGGTGTACACATGAATTGTACACATGAATGACAACCACAGCTGGAGCAACAACACCACCGGCCTGATCAAGAAAGCTCATCAGAGACTCTACTTCATCAGGCGGCTGAGACGAGCTGGTCTGGGAAGCTCAGTCCTCACCTCCTTCTACAGGTGTGCAGTGGAGAGCATCCTGTGCTCCAGCATCAACGTGTGGCATGGAGGCTGCACAGCTGCAGAAAGAAAAGCTTTGAAGAGAGTGGTGAAGGCTGCACAGAAGACTGTTGGAGTCAGTCTCCCCACCATCACAGACATTTACACCTCTAGATGCAGGAAGAGGGCCACCTGCATCATGAAGGACCACACTCACCCAGCACACACACTTTTTGCCCCACTCCCCTCAGGAAGGAGGTTGAGGATCATTAAATGTAGAACCACTAGACTGAGGAATAGCTTATACCCTGAGGCTGTTAGACTCATGAATCTCTAACCAGAGTAATCACTGTGAAAAATCACATCATGTTGCTGCTGATCTGTTTCATGTTGCTGCTGATCTGTTTCATGTTGCTGCTGATCTGTTTCATGTTGCTGTGTTCATTCGTACTCATCCGCTCACACAGACTCATGTTCATGCTGCTGTTCGGCATACTGTTTTTATGCTAGTGCTTAGTGTATATTTAGTTGATGTTTTTCTTAGTTCATATCTTAGACCATATTATTGTTTTTCTTTTACATTTTATTGTTGGATGTAACTGGGACCCTGTGTACATAATTTCGTTCCACCACATGTACCACATGTGATGCGAATGACAACTAAAGAACCTTGAATCCTTGAACATGTGACCTGTCCAGGGTGTTCCCTGCCTCTCACACAGCTCCAGGATCTGCCACAGATCCAATCATTTAGACACGACAGTTTTCTAATTTTTTTAATTTGTGCACAAATTAAGTAATTAATCAAAATGTGGTTTAGATGTAGATTTTTAGTTGCAGCTTTAGAGGTTCAACTAAAAAAAGCTTTAACGGTTCAGGAATTTCAGCTGATTTCCTCTCTTGGCTTTAGTTGTTTCTGAGCGGCTGTGGCCTAATTTTTCTGCCTCGGTGAACCGTAACTATGTGCTGATCAAACAGCTGAACCTGCAGGAAAACACAACCGTTTCAACAGACCACCGTTTAATTCATAAAGTGGAATATACTCACAGATATAGTTATGGAAATGCTGAGAATATTCTCCACATCTATAAACTTTATGTAAATTTTCAGTCCACCACTTTATCTTCATTTAACCTTACAAATGTTAAACGTAAAACAAGAAAACAACAATTAGACGTCGGAGTTTGACAGATTAATGTCCTTGGATTGTCTTGAGAAACAGAGTTTAAGAACCGGAGACACATTTGTTTCTTGTTGAACAAATTTCTTGGAAAATAAACTGAATAAAGAAGGATTTAATTTTTTCACACAGACTGTTTCCTCTGAGGCTGAAACAGTTTACAGCCCTTAAATTAATTTATAGCTTCAGGAACGAGGCACTATGTTCTTTAAAACACACACACATACATACACACACGCACACACACGGTGCAAACTGGTAGCTAAACTCCACTGATTTCTTAACAAATGATTTAACAACATTATGTTTTTCTTTAGAGGAAGGGAAAAACTGACATCAAGAAATGAAATGTGTTTAAAAAACAAGTACATTCAACTTTACTGATGACAAGTTTTAAGACTGATCTTTAAAAATTGTTTAAAATCGAACACGCTAACCGACACAGATAGTAACACTTTGTCAATAAGTTATGAAAAGTTAAAAAATTAACCTCTACATGTAGTGTGAGACTAAAACAACACAAAGATCAGTATGGAGCTCTCGGTGAGGGACAAACCTCGTAGATAAAACAAGGTCTGAAGCCGGTTTGAACCCACTGGACGGGTCCAGATGTGGCTGAGGACAATGTGGACTCTCCGTCTGGCTCTGCAGGGTCCTTGTTTTTAAAGCTGGGTGTACCTGAAGGAGTAAAACAGACTTAAAACGATCAGAGTTCATGAGTGGACAGGCTGAGCTGCAGCTTCATCCTGCTGCTCCTTCTCTCTCCTCTTCATCGCTTCGATCGCCGCCATCTCCTTGGCCTCTTTTTTCTGGTTCCTGGCTTCGAACTGCAGCCTGGGAACAAAATAAAGATGTGAATAAACACAAACATGATCAGTACACAGAGTTTAAGACGGATCAAACCCTCGCCTGTTTGCAATGATCCTCTGGACGATGTCGTCAGTGGTGAGATTATTTCCACTGTCTACACTCCTAAAGATCCCCCTCTTCTTAGGTTCCTGAGGGAAAAACACCACTTGTTACAAACAACTGAATCGGTCGGCTCCTGTATGAACCATGAAGTTTAACACTAACATTAAAGATTTAAAAGGCAGGAGGAGGAAGTCGCTAAAATATGACCCCACAGTGCCACCTGGAGATCAGACCTGGTAATGACGTCAGTCTAAGGTGAAGCAAATAATTTATTCCTCTAAAATATAAAAGCAGCAGGTATTTCATCGTATGCTCATTCTCAGATTGGTTAGTAACAGGAATGGGGATTTTTTTTTAGCAAAAGTACCCCTCAAATATGATCATGAATTATTTGATTTGCTTTGAATACTCAGCTGTCCCATCTGATCGTGCTCCCTCAGTCCTCTCCTCCCCGTCCACCTACTGGCTACCGCTCCAAACATAAGACCAGTTTGTGGCTCCTCACAGCGTTTTTCATCATTTACTCACACAGGGCTAATTAATACAGCACAACCAGAGTCAGCACAAACTGTTTAAAAGCAGAGAAAGCAGTCTTAATAAAAGCCAATCTCAGCTTCTGGTTTATGATTCAAGACCGTTGCCCTTTTCATGTTTTTGCTTAATAAATAATTGTGTCCACACGGCTGAGACTTGAATTAAACGTTTCTCACTCAAAGTCCTGCAGCTGAAAAAACCCTCAAATGAAAGGGCTGGTTACAGAGACATGTGCTGCTCTAATTCTTCTTTATATTCCTTTGTTTCCATCAGTCCAATGGATCACCGTAGAGTGGTGACGCACGCATCCTGACGGTAAAGCTGAGCTCACCTGTGACCATAGTTTCCACTTCATAATCCTTTCAAAATAAACTACGATGGCAGAAAGATGCTGGGACGTTCAAAGCTGTTTTTGTTTTCTGTTTTACAGAAGGTGTTGCACAGTAGTCCCTCCCTACTTCACGTTTTTTTTCGCGGACTCGCTCTTTTGCGGCTTTTCAAAGTAGGAGTGGACATGACACGCAGTTGGCTGATTGATGGATGAGCCACAAGAGCGGCATGGATTGTTTATTTAAAATGTTACAGTATTAAAATGTAAATTGTTTATTTACATATAAGGAGAGAGATGGGGAGTGAAACTTGAACTTGGACTGCTGTATCCCTACTTCGTGGTTTTTCACTTATCGTGAGGGCGTGGTTCCTAAACCCCGTGATAAACGAGGGACTGCTGTATTGTAAAAAGCTCCCTGACTGGAAAAGTACTGTTCGGAAACATATTGGTGTGTTGGTGTAAATAAAATAAAATAAGACTGTTGTGACTCACAGCATAGGGGTCTGACCCATCCTTGTCTGGAAATACTTCCGTCTTGCCGTGGCACACCAAATCCACCTGAACAGGAAAACATAGCTGGTTAAAACCACCATCCCTCAAGTAGAAAAACACCAGTTTGTTATTATTCCACAGATGTTCTGATTGCTTAAATTTGACTTTCAAGCTTGTCATCTTTGCTAACCTTCATTCGTCAGTTATGTATAACTTAACGCATTGGTTAGCAGGTGAATGCTAAAAACAGCAAACAGCACTGCAGGACACTCTCCTAATTTATCTGAGAAATCAAGAATGTAACCAGAAATAAACCTACGGTATATTCATGTCAAATTTTGTTTTACTAAAATGTTTTTTTTCCTCTTTGTTCACTGGGACTGCATCACAGTTTTACACTTAAACATTTCAAAAGCATCATCTGGAAGTCACACTTCATATAAATGCTTATGTTCTTTAAAGTTTATATTGTAAACAAATGCCAGTCACTTCAGGAGTTGCATGAGTAGGATTTATGTTGTTAGGTTAAAGGAAGAAAATGTTTGTCATCGAGGCTTTCTTAGAAATAGGTAGGTCTTATGTTGTAGTCACTTCCTTCCTTGTTCCTAAAGCTACAGCTGAAACCCTGCTCGTAAAAATACGTACTTGTAAAAGATGTGATAAATAGTCAGCTACAAAAAGGTTTAAAGTCACAAACATCTGTCATTATAAAATAACAATCTAAAGAAGGTTAACAAACTGATTGTTTCAGTATATTTTTAAAGTTCAGGTAATAATGGCTCTTGTCACGACTCCAGTGAATGCTAAAGCTGAAGCATTTCTAACTAAACTACGAGTGACTTAAAACAAATTGAAGGAAACTCACTTTAAAATGATCCAGCAGGTCTTTGCCCACTGCGTATGGTGCACCAATCACCACCTCTGACACATACTACAGACACAGAGCAATAAAAATAAAATCAATTTGAAAGTGCGAAACCTTTAACAACATTCTCCCCCAGACAGATTCCTGCGTTTCTGACAGAGTTGAACCACAAAGCTTAGTTCCTAACGTGTTAGTTTTTAGCTTCAGTACCTCGTCATCAGGCGCTGAAAGCATCACTTTCCAGGCTTTACAGTAAGTCTGCATAACAGTCTCACTAACACACAACACAGATGAGCAACAAAGATTTATTGTTCTTGGCCGACAGCAAGAATGAAGAGCGCAGAGCCAAGCTGCGCCTGCAGCGGGCAGACGCGCGTCCCCCTCTGTGCTGAACGGTCAACAATAAACAATGTGTGAGCTCACCCGACAGGCAAGAACACTCAGAGTTCTCTCATGGATGTTCATGATTGGGTAGTTCTTCCCTTTGTAGCGATTCACTTCCTGAAAACAGTAAAAAAACAATAAAATTGTGAGCGCGTTTACAGCTCTTTTGATTAGACGTTAAGCTCTAACTGCTGAGTGAATGTGATAGAAAACAACAAAATGACAATCCTTGACTCTGAACAGTCAAAGCAACAAGTTCTCCTAATAGTAATGTAAGGCCAAGCTAGCTCCTTTCACAGCAGGAAGAGCTGAATCTGCTCTTTTGGTTGGATGAGATTAACTGGTAATTGGGTGTACCTGGTCAAAGTGCAGACCCACGATGACGTAAGCCCTCTCTGCTTGTTTATAAACCATTTCCAAGAAGTCAACATGACCAATGTCTGCAGAAAATTTGTAGTCAAGGCAGCAAAAACAAAAACATAACAATCAGCGTTTTTTTTAACTCGGGCTTCCTCGCAGGTAAAAAAAGGATGCGGAAAAGATCAAACGCTCCGGCCACATAGATGATGGTGTCTCCGGGCTGCGGCTCCTTTCCTGAGGCGAACTGAATGATCTTCTGAGATGTTTGCAGGAACTGAGAAACTCCCGTCCAAGGACTGTGAACTGTGGCACCCTTAGAGACAAAACACCAAACTGAACAACGATCTGTAAGTGTTCATAGGAAGGACGCAGCATAAACATTATTATTACCTTTCCAAAGTTGTCTGTGTGCTGCTGGTAATCAGTGTTATCCTGCAAAAACAACAACAACAAAAACATGAACAGCAAGAAAAAACAACAACACAATAAAGACAGGAATGTAAACTCACCAAGTTGCTGTGATGGGCTTTGGTCATGAGCAACATGCGTCCCACCAGGTCAGTGGTCGAGACACCCTGCGTGCGTTTACACTCCCGGTAACGACCCGCCCGCTTCACCTCTGCATATGTGTCTTTGCCATCTACCGTCAGCGTGATGTCATCTGGTAAACATAAATAATATCAACCACATATGATCAAAAGCATAACGACAAAATAAGCAGAACTCCTGGACAATAACAAAGTCGTGAAAGGTGATTCAAAAATCAGAGTGAAAGCGGCTCACCTCCATGCACGCAGAAATCACAGCTGTATTTGTCCAGAGTCTCCAGCGTCGTCACATACGGAGCTCCTTCTACGATCTCATCCACCCACTTGATTGCACGCACCATCTTGTACCGTTCTTCCTGAGTAAAGACTGGGGGGCCCTTGTGTTTGGAAATCTCCGCTTTGAAAAGAGATTTGGACGTTAGTTGTTTATTACCAACATGTCAAGCTGAAGAAACTTTCACTAAAACTTTATAAGAAAGTTTCACAAAATGATTCTTATTTTGCTGTCATGTGACATGGAGGACCCTAAATGATTTAAAAAAAAAATCTGTTAAGTAGGGGTTGAATAGACTAGTCGACTAGTCAATTTATGTCATATTTCACATTGACTAGTCGCCCCCCCCCCCCCCCTGCTGTTCCCAACTCTTTTCCACCCAATCCACGTGGTGGATTAAATAAAATAAAACTAAAAACAGCAGCATTTTTGCAGCTTGATAATAGTTTTGCTTTTCCTTTGACTTATTTGCTGTATGATAAATGGTAGGAGCATAAATATATGCCCAACATTCTGTTGTTCTTTTTTGTTGTTGTAAATAATAGACTTTTTTGTCTAAATTTTTATTTGTTTTTGTAAATATGATATAGCGTCGAGTTCCTATGACGTCATCGACTAGTCGAAGGCGACTCGACTTTTATCGTGTTAAATTCGACTTTTTAAAATATGTAGTCGTTTAACCCTTAGTGTTAAAGAGACGCAGTAAAGTAGCTGCAGTTCGTCCTATGGAGAGTTACTGCAGCTTCATGTAGCTGAAACTTGTTGCAGTAAAGCTTTGTTGTTTCACGCCTTTTTATCTTTAAAAAAAAATTTTTTACTGGACCTTGAAAAATATTTCTGTCAGTAATAAACACGATGCAAATGAAGTTAGTGTTTTTACTGTTTTCAATGTAAAGTTAGCATCTGTTAACTGTTGGTCAGCAGCCTGTGAATAATAAGTTGTCTATGTTATTGTGTACTCTTTATTAGGCACACAAATATACAGATCTATAATTATGTATGTGAACTAAGCAATAGTCATTTAAGTTTTAAGCTTAATGCATTTTGTTTTATAATCATATCACAAATATACGGTGACTTTTGATTTCCATCCATTGTTTATTCCAAAATTGTTTTGTTTTTTTTTGGTATGTAGCTGCTGTAACCAAGGCATACAACCTTAACAAACTTTAACAAAGTGTAAATAAACAACTACTCGGCTGTGCAATAACAGAAGTGTGAATTCAGTCACCTTTGCATCACACGTCAACCTTACCGTCTGTATGCACGCCCACAATCAGGTAATCTCCCAGAGCTTTGGCCTGTCGCAGTTGGTTGGAGTGACCGTAGTGCACCATGTCGTAGCTGTGTGGAGAAAACAATTAAAAAACAATAGCTGCTGTCAGTGTCTGACAACACTACTCGGGTCAAAAGAGCTGAAAAATTCACAACAATGCAGAATAAATCTGAAACTGGTGCCCCACAGCCACATGGTGGATCGTGGTCGAGATCTAAACCCAGAAGAAATCCTATCTGGGCCCAGACTGATTAGTAAATATATATTTTAAGTGGCGCAGCTTTTTCATCCTATTTTAGTCTTTTCCATAGATTGAAACAGTTCTTTTGTTTTGTTTGGTTTTACCACGGTTTGTGTTACGCTGTATAATTTCCTGGTCTAGAACTTTGCTTAAGAAAGATATTTTGAGCGGACCTTGGTGAATTTTAATTGAAAATCACTGCTCTGCAGGTTCACATCAAATACTTTATTATAACAATAATAAGGGTTGATTTAATGGTCAGTTTTGTATTTTTCTTTGTATCGTAGGGCCCATCGTATGTGCTATGTAGCTTCTCAAACAGGTAGTGGACTGCAATGCAGAGTTAAAGATCAATGGGGGAAAGGTGGTGGCCACTGAGATGATCGACAACGTGTCCATGTTTATTTGCTTTTTGTCATTTGGTTACGCAATCAATCAATATTCTGCAAGATTATTTAGCAGAATTGAACTACAGTTTTAATAGTAAAATTAAATATAAGAGATGACTACTTCTACTGGGCCATGGTGGTGCAGTTGGTAGAGCTCAGGTCTCTCTTGTAAATGAGTCCTCGAGGCTCAATGGGATTTACCTGTCTAAATAAAGGTTGAATGAATGAAAAAGAGCTGCTGCCTCTCAGCGAGCAGGTTACCCCAGTTCAAATCCCAGCCAGGGGCCCTTCTGGGTGGAGTTTACATTTTCTCTCCGTGCATGCGTGGGTTTCCTCCAGGTACTTCCGTTTCCTCCCACATACCAAAACATGCATGTTAGGCTGATTGGTAACTCTAAATTGTCCCTAGGTGTGAGTGAGAGAGTGGTTGTTTTTCTCGTTTGTCTCTATGTGTCCCTGTGATGGACTGGAGACCTGTCCCCCCCGCCTCCCGCACAGTGATGGCTGGACATGGGCACCAGTGACCTCTGCAACCCGAAAAGGAAGAAGCGGGTAAAGATAATGGATGGATGGATGAATGAATGGATGGATGGATGAATAGATGGACGGATGGATGGACAACTTTTATTACTAGTTTTTTACTGAAAGTTTGGTAGAGCCCCAAATTCACAAATAAAGCTGAAGTTTAACAATTATTGGTGGTTTGGTCATAATGATGCAGTAGTAAAACACTGATATACCATAAAAATACAAAAAACAAAAAACACTATTGGTAACTGATGGGAAAACTTGACATGAAGGGTTAATAAAGGCGCTATTAACACACGACATCGAAACATTAGCTTTGTTTAAATCCATGATAAGGACAGATTTGGTGTTTAGACAGGTGTAGCTCTCACACATAACTCCTGTTAATAAATGCTAAGTAGCAAGCTAGCGTTAGCATGCTAACAAGTCAAGTGTTCTAACACGAGGACAGCGTTTAGGTAAACACATTAAAATACTTAAAACAAGTTCAAACATAAGTAGACGGACACGCGGACTCACCAGCCGTCACACCACAACCGCACCACCCGCTTCCTCTTCTCCGGGCTACACATCGAGTCCACCGTCTTACCGGACCCGGCTTCTTCACTCCGGTTACTGGCTGCGTGGTGACCGTTTTTGATCATTTTGACGACTGACCAGAGAAATTTGAATAGAATTTTAAGAGTTAAAATAAGATTTTGGAATAATTAAAATAACTACAGGTGGTTCTACAGAGCCCGATTCCGACAGGATCACTGAACTGGCCAACGCCTCCAACGACGTCACATCGAACGAATGTTCTCCGTGTGACGTACTGGTTGCATAATCCTCTGGTAACACGATAGCTTTAAACCATTGATTCGTTCCTTTTTATTTCGCCGAGGTAGGACCCGGCTAGTGCCCGTTGAAATAGAGTGCAAGCTCCGCCTACCCAGCCACTACTTTGTCAGCCGACTAAAAATAGCATATAGCCACACTGAAGCAGCTCTACACTTGTTTTATGAACAAGTACATTTGTTGTGCATGTAATAGGTGCATCTAAACAAATTAATAAAAATAATTTTGAAAGCTTACTTTAAAATATTGTATGACCTTACTCAACGTTTGTTGGCATTCAAGCTCCACTCAGACAAGCCAGTCATTCTGAGGAACAAGTACTTTTACTTGGAGGTATGTTTTGCTTTGGAGTAAATTTACTCAAAGGTAATCTAATTCAGCTATAGAAAGTTTTTACACTTCAGTTTTTATTAAACAGTTGCGCACTTACCTTAGCCGCACAAAAATGTACCTGTTTAAATCTTTGAGAGAACTGCAACAAAACATCTACTGACTCTACTCAACTTAAAGGATAGATGCAGTGAAATAAACTTGTAAGACTATAAAAAATAAAAATATTACAACTACAAACTGTAAATGAAGTGCATTATTAATCTAGCAATTCAAGCAAAAATAAAATTCGTAATTCAAATCATGATTTATTTTCTCACAAATACACAAGATTTACAAAAGAAGTCTTCAATGGTTCTAGGAGTGCTTAAATTATGACACTGGATGGTAAATAATGTGATATTAATATCACAGGATGTACCTGAGACAAATTACTTTTTTTTTCTTAATAACAGTAACAAGTTACTTGACATAAGATAAACTAAGAAAATAATCCATAACTTTTACTCAGTTGTAAACAAATGAAGGAAAATCTGCAACCACTAAACCAAAAGGCTACACTGGCAACACTGCAGGCTAACCTGAGGATGGCTCGCACTCCGAATTTACAAATTCATTTACTCTAGATAAATCAAAATACCTTCAAAATAAACATTAAAAAATGTGAACAGAGAAAAAAAAATACAAAAATATACTTTAAGCAAAACATAGAAAATTCATACAAATGCATTTATAAACCACGACTCAAAAACTGGCTAACGGTTTACTTCTACTGCTTTGCAGCACTGACAATCAGAAAGCTGCTCATTTTCACTGAAAAGTCCCGACTCTCAAAAACTCGGATGTTAATAAACACAAACGCATCTTTCGGACACATTTGAATCAGCTAAAGCTCAAACCAGCCGAACGTAGCACAGTTCGACAGAAGCTTCCAAAAAGGCTGTAAAACACTGAAGTGATCCGAGTATACGAGCAGATAAAAAATATCTGTAACATTGTTTTGAAAACTATCCGTTCAAACTATAGCAAAGCTTTCAAGACGACCCGGAAAGCTGTCACTATTTTAGGATCTGTTGAGTCAGTTTTCAGTAACATTATCTGATAGTAACCTCATGTTGTAGCACGTTATCAGCTGAACTCACAGTTTAGCTTCGAGTATCCCAGCTGGTTTAGCTGCCGTAATGAATGGAGCATAATAAACCAGTTACACAATACACTTTTAAATCCTGCCACAGAACGTATGCAGGAAGACATGATGGTGCACATCTCCCTCCTTAAACACAAATACTGCATGTGACTCTTTAATATCAATGAAGGCAAACAGACATCAGCTGTGTCCTATAGACGAGGTTTGTCCTCATCACGGGACAGGAATTTAAATCCATCACAGATAGATCATTAGTAGCACCTGACCACAAGTCATGGAGTCAATAACGTTTCCTCAGGTATGCAGCTTCTTTCTTTTTTTCCCCCTTCCTTTGCTGTAGCCTCGACCGAACCAGCCACCCTGCACAGATGGGGCTTCCTCCAGCTGCTCCGCTGCTTCGACGTCGTCCTGCCCCTCAGGGGAAGCCAGGACCTCCCGAGAGTGACTTTTGACCTCTTCTGGACGAAGAGGAGTTTCTAGAGAGAAGATTGGGTCCTGGGCCCTGAGAAAACAGAATGTGGGAACCCAAGCATATATGTAAGTGAAGTTGTGTAAATGTGTTTGTATATTTAACTGATTTCATTTAAGTTTGTGATTGTTATATGATTTTAGCCTTTTTTTTTTTTGTTAGAATTGTTTATGCTTCACTAGTAAATTTAAATTTTTGGCAGCAAGATTTTTTTATTTTTTTTTACTTTCTTTGTCTCATCACATTTTGTCTGTGTTACCAAAATAACTAAAGAAGCACTGGATGAATTTTAATGATGCAGAAAGCATCCACAGGATGTAAATCTACAACGGATTAACTTTGATTTTACATTTTATTTCTGCCACAGCTGACATTAAAAACAAACAAAAAAAGTTCACAACTTTGTCTGTTTTACAGATACTGACTTGGAATTTGGTGTGGTTGTAGCCGAGACTGATCCCAAACGTATTCTAAGCAGACTGCAAAATTAGGCCTGTCACGATAACAAATATTGCTGGGCGATTAATTGTCTCAGAAATTATTATGATAAACGATAACATTGTTTGAAATTGGACAAAAATGAATAATTATTGTCAAATTTAAGAAGAAATGTTGATTAATTGGGCAGCAAGGTGACGCAACTGGTAGAGCTGCTGCCTCTCAGCAAGCAGATCCCGGGTTCAAATCCCAGTCCGGGGGCCTTTATGGGTGGAGTTTGCATGTTCTCTCCGTGCATGCGTGGGTTTTCTCCGGGTACTCCGGTTTCCTCCCACAGACCAAAAACATGCATGTTAGGCTGATTGGCAACTCTAAATTGTCCTTAGGTGTGAGTGAGAGAGTGAATGTTTGTTTGTCTCGTTTGTCTCTATGTGGCCCTGTGATGGACTTGCGACCCGTCCAGGGTGTACCCTGCCCCTTGCACAGTGATTGCTGGACATGGGCACCGGCGACCCCCGTGACCCAAAATGGAAGAAGCGGGTAAAAAGATAATGGATGGATGGATGTTAGTTAATTTGTTTTGAGTGTAGTACCTTTTTTTGACCACTGGATGGCAGAATAAGACTGTTTGAACCAAAGGATGGATAGTGAGGGAGCGAGCAGCGTCTCAAAATGGCGGACGCTCGGAGTGATTTGAGCTCTTTAGCATAGCATTTTTCACACAAAGCTTTTAATTGTAAAAAATCAGTAAAAAATTATCAGCTTCTTTTTGCAGAGAAAAACAACTTTTTACACGAAGGCGCAAGTTTCAACCGTGAATTTTGAAGCTTCGACAAGACAGAGTTTTTTTCCAGAGGTCGGCCTGTTAGCTTAGCTCGTAGCTTAGCTTCTCAGCTTAGCTGCTTTTAACGATCCAAAAACGTGATTTTGGACAGTCAAAATGAATTTTAAAGAGAAAAGAGAAAGGGAGGGGTCAGTGAAGAGCACCAGAGTTGAGTATTTTGTCATCCAGTGTCTTCAGTAGAAAGCGAGAGACACGAAGAAACGATAGTCGATAAATGAAAATGAGGTTGATAATTTTAATTTATCATGCGATTAACTGATTTATTGTTTATTGCGACAGGCTTATGCAAACTCTTATTAATATTGTTAGACACGATCCTTACCGGTCATAATCAGGAATCTGAATGTTCAGCTCCTCCATTAGAAGACTCATGACATCATCACATTTGCCATGGATTTTCAGCACAGCTAGATCATCTTTTGGGGTCCACTAAATAATGACAAAACCATGAAGCCAAGCACAGAGCCTGAAAAATTAAAAAAGTTCTCTTCTTGCTAAAAAAAAAAAAAGACCAAAAGAAGCCCACCTGGAGGTTAACGATGTAGAGTTTTGGCCTTTTGTTCACAGGTCTGTTCATGGACCACAGACAAGCGTATTTCTTCAGCACCTAGCAGAAGAAGAGAACATGTCAGATGTTTGCTTCCATAACATAAAAATAAATAAATAAGTAAATTTTATCACCAAAGATAATTGGACATCTTGAATTTATAAATGTAATCACAAATCTAAAAGCAGCTGCAGTAATTAGAGCAATTTCTGAATTATGTCTAGACAATTTAAACCGAGATGGGTTTTAACTTCTTTAAGAACAAGCCTGTTCTATAAGCAGTTCTTACAAATTAACTTAAAAATAAGTGTAAACATTACGACTGCCACCACGTCGATTCAACACAGACTTGTGTGATGAAACCTGCCTTCAGACTGGAGCCCAAGCAGAGAATAACATCTGCCTTCTTAGCAGCCTCTGCTGCTCCCTTCCAGTTCAGAGGTTGCTCCAAAGTCCCACGTTCCCCAAAGTGCACTATCGTGTCCCTCAGTTCAGCACCACAGTGGCTGCATCTGCGGCCTGTCGCGTGGCGGTGCAGCGACGTCCGCTCCGTCACGTCAAATAAACGCACATGTTCCCTGACTGGCGAACAAGTCGTGCACACCTGTAAATTTATAACAAAAGAGGGGGTTTTGCAGAAACAGTGTACGTAATGATTTTAGTAATGTTTTTAAGAATATCAAACTGCAGAGTAACATATGTCTGCGTAACAACTAAACGCCATAAAACCTGTTCAGTTCATTAAAAATGGCTCACACCAGCCCCTAAACATGTGTGACTACCACTAAAAACATGTATGCACCAAATATTTTGAATGAAACAACAGTTTAAGATATTTACTGATAGCTGTTTTTTGGGAGGGAGGTAAAATAAATATCCTAATTTCTTAGAAAGCAGGAATATTTCTAATAATGAGCACATGTAGAAGACATAAAAACAAAACAAACATAAAATCAGGAATTACGATGCGTTTGTTGTACCTCAATGAACATGTTCCCATGGAGCTCAGACAGAGCATGTCTAGGTAGACCACTTCGCAGGTGAAGTCCATCGCAGTTTTGCGACACAACATGCTTCACCTTGATTAAGAAAGACAAACAGAACACGTTTAAACGTTGATTTAAAATGATAAAACGACCCATACAAGTGGTCTGACGTACCAGCTTCTCCTTATGCAACATCCTGATGCTCATGTGCGTGAGTGTTGGCTCAGCTTTACTCAAGTCTGATGAGCTGAATGTAAAAACAAGAACAAAGAACACAAGAAGTCAGAAATTCAGATTCAGGACTCAAGATTTATTTAATCACATTATGATAAAGACCACATCTCACCTTATGGTCCGACCCTTCTGCAGCTGCGTCCACACCCCATTAGGACCTCTGTAATCTGGGATAGAAGCTGCCTAAAAGAAGAGACTCCATCAGTGCTGAGAGGGGTTGTGATGGACAGAAACAGTGAACAGGTGGGGTTACAAGTACCGTGCTGATACCAGCTCCCGTGTAAACCACCAGGTGCTTTGCTTCCCTGAATGCCTCAGCGAGGTGCTTGACTTTATGTTTGATCTCATCAGCATCATCAAACACCTGAAAGCAGCACAAGAACACAAATATATAGCTGTAAACATACAACAACAAACACTTCTGGTATCGAAGAGCAAAAAAAAAAACAATGGGTAATTAAAAAATAAACGGGTTTTTATAAATGACTCGATTCACACAGGTACAAAAACACACCTAAAAAGAATGCAACATAACTCAGTCACCAACAGAAAACATATTTAAGGAATTTTCTTAAACTAGGATTCATTTTAACTGTTTTAAACTGTTTATCATGACATCATAATAGTCAAAAGCAGAAAAAAAATTTAACCACTCATGTCAAGACTAATTTTTCCACAAAGGGAAGCAAGCCAGCTGAGTACTGTAATTATTGCCTTTTTATGAAACGTGGTGGATAAAAACCAGGTGCCTCATGTATGAAACAGTGCACAGTTATACTGAAAGTTGAAATGTGAAAATTGAATGTGCACAAAAATATTCTGATTCATCAAACTATGCATGCACGTATGTACCCCAGATAAACGTGGAAATGTGCGCACAGAAAAGTCCTCCCCTGACAAGCTTCCATATGTAAATGGATGTAAATAAGGCCTGCGTGTGTGATTCTTCTCTCTGCACAGACTGAAGTGATGTCTAGATACATGTAGAAGAATTTAATGAAATGTGAGTCAGAGACGCTTCTGAAAAAGTAGAGGGGCATAAAAATATGTTTGCCACACATGCACAGAGTGGAGTGATTGTGTGTGAAGCTGCGGCTGTCACTGAATTAACTGAACTTGGGGAAGCAGAACTGCCGGTGGTGCACTCTCGAGATTGAGGCATTTTGAATTTTATCCTTGTGTTTAATGACATAATTACTCTAAACACAGAGGCACCCAGGAGCTTAGTAGAATTTAGACACTTATTTATGAAATAGTTGATACGAAGAAACAAGTTGTGCAACAGCGGAGTGTTTCAGCCACGGAATAGGGGAATTTAATATATCTGGGATTCATATGGATTAGGCCATCTCATACAGCTGGCATGGCATGACTGTGCAATACCCAATCTGTATTTGATTTGTGCGGTCCCAGAAAACACGCTGATTTGTATGGCAAGCCAAATGTCTCTATAATAGCCATTTTTACCTATTAATGAGACACTTTGCTTGCCATACAGATGTACCGCCCTCTAGCGGCTGAAAATGGTAGGCTTCAATATTTTCCATGTCAGCATTAATGAAATCAGATCTCAGCCAAAAATTTGGTTATAAATATGGGGGGGGGATAAATAAGTTGCTTCGCCGTATAAGTCACAGGGCATGTTAATTTATGCCAAAAGTGCCACTTATACATAGAAAAATACAGTAATTTGCTGATCCAACAGTTTTCTTTTCAGCTAGAATGGAAGTCCCCTTTAAATGCCTCATACATTTTAAGCGCTTCATCCGTCTGTGCTTCTTGCAGTCGTGCGGTCACTGACATATGTTTACTGACACGTGGCAAAAATACAGGAAAGCTTACATTTTAGATCGGAGAAAAGTTGTTTAGATAATTTGAGGCGTGTTATGTTGTATGAGATTAAACATTCAGTTTCATTGGTTGGCTTTAAGCCATACAAGTTCAAACTCATGAAAAAATATTTAGTTTAAATACCCTTTAAGTTCAGAAGGCCAAATGAAGTCATATTTCGGTGAATTTCAGCACTTTGTAGTTTGACGCTGTCGACTAGTCTATGTCCAAGTCTATGTGGAAGTACACATTCTCACAAAAGTCAAAAGGTCAAAAGTCTGTGCATATTTACGCACACGATGACACACTGTTCGTTTTGATACATCCCAAAATGTACATGGAACCTGGCACATGCAACCTTTTAGTGCGTATGCATTTATACACGAGTCCTCTGGCGAAGATGAGGATCCTTTTCATTTATTTAGCCTTGGTGAAGAAGAGCATGCCTTTAACGGATTTGAATGTGTCATAAATGTGAAAGTCATATTTATATTTCCATGTTGATGGTTTACATTCGTCTACCTCCTGCGAAGATAAATTGTTCTGTCCATCTGTACACAGTTTTTAAGTGAACTGTACTTAATAGGAAGATAAGATTTTACTTGCTGTAAGCAAAGTATAATTAAATGAAACCTTTTGCACTGCTGTATTTAAAAGTAACAGTATATATAAGATGAACTGCCAGTATAAATAGTCCTGTCACATTTTAGATTTGTAATGTGTACTTTAGTATGTTTCTGATGTAAACATTTGATGAGACTGCACAGGCAGAAGTCTGTATTTACTCTGTTACAGAAAGTGATTTATTTATCCTCACTGGTCTGACTGTAGCCTCTGCAGGTGCAGGTCCACAGTGATGGTGAGTTGTGGAGTCTCACCTCCTCCTGCTTCCTCTTCAGAACATTCCTGCGGATTTGTCTCTTGCTGACTTCATCCACGGTTTCTCGGTGCTGCAGCAGCGCAGCGGCCTCCTCCTTTGACCGCTCAGCTTCCGGCTTCTTCAGCACTCGACCGACCTGCAGAACCAGAAAGAAGCGGCCGTTTTTATTTATTTATTTAATTTTCTACCGGCTAAGAAGAAGCCATTCATTTACACCACCGATGACGCCTGCTAATGTTAGCATGCTAACGTAGTCGCTCTGAATGCGGCTTACCAGCCTGAAAATAGTCCGGTCTCGTTCCCGTTGAACAATTTTAGCTTTTTCCAAAGCTTTTCTCTTCGCCCGCGGAGAAATGTTTCTGTCCGGCAACCCTTCCATCCCGTTTCCACCAGAGAAGCAGCTCTTTATTCAAAACAAAGCTCATCTCATCATTAAAGAGCGACAGTGGCGGCGGATGTTGGCAGAGGAGGCAACGATGAAGAGAACAGCGCCCCCTGCTGCTCGGAGTCTGTAAATGTCTTCAGGCAAAAGGGGTTTATAACCTTTGTATTGCTGTGCATTTTATTGAACCATTGCTTATGTACATTTATATATATATATACAAGAATGTAAACATGCATAGATATTAGACTGACTGCATTATTTCTATGGCTGATACCAATCTTTAGACATCCGGGCAATGTCTGATGACCAATTTGTGTTCTTCCTTTAACAAAATAATACAACTGCTTTAAATGAAGCAAACACCCATGTAACACATTAAAATATTTAAATATTTAAAAAGTATGCTTAGAAGTAGTAATGCTTGAAACACTAATGGCAGCTTCATATTCCACATACATACATGTATATATGCACATACATATATAATCTGGGAGTGGTAATGGACCCTTCCTTGAAACTTAACAGTCATGTGAACATGATTGTTTTTTTTTCCAGCTGAGGCGTCTAAGCTGAAGCCCATATTGTCCAAAAATAACCTGGAGACAGTAATACATGCATCCATTACATCCAGACTCGATTACTGCAACTCACTCCTGTTTGGTATCAGTCAGACCTCCATTGCACGACTACAACTGGTCCAGAATGCTGCAGCCCGATTTTTAACCAGTACAGGCAAAAGAGAGAACATTACACCAGTTTTGGCCTCACTGCACTGGTTACCAGTTCACCTTCGAATCCAGTTTAAAATCCTTCTGTATGTTTTTAAATCACTGAACAGTTCTGCACCCTCCAATCTCACTGATCTGCTGCAGCCGTATGCCCCACCGCGTTCTCTGAGGTCCGTGAACCAGTTGCTTCTCTCAGTCCCAGTAACCCGTCTGAAGTGCAGAGGTGACAGGGCCTTTTTTCTGTTGCAGGCCCTAGACTATGGAATGAGTTACCTCTACTTGTTAGACAGGCCCCTTCCCTCAAAGTTTTTAAATCCCGCTTAAAAACCTACTACTATTCCCTGGCTTTCAACACTATGATTTGTGCTGAACCTGTATGCATCACACCGTTAGTCATTATGTTGTTACCTGCTATTATTTTGTTTCTATATTTTGATTTTACATTATGTTATGTGTTGCTGTGTACTTTACCTGTTTGTACAGCACTTTGGTTGGCCTTCTCGCTGTTTTAACGTGCTCTATAAATAAAATGGTATGGTATATGCATACATATATACATATAGATAGATAAGATATACAGATAGATATTAACTTTTTATGACGTCAACAGATACAAATAAATGAAACCTCTGGTAAAGCTGTGTAGTGTACAAGCCTTTTTCTGGTTTTGCAATAAGAAAGTTTATTACCAAACACAAATAAATAAATGACGAAGATTAAGTCCTTCATAAGAGATAAAAGAATGTAAAAAATACAACAGTGTACATATATTTTGGCTTAAATGCAATTCCAAAAAAGCACATTTTAAGGCAGCAATAAAAAACACTTTTCAAGTATTAAATATCTGCAACAAGATGGTAAAATTTGGGTTCGTTTCAGAACATCAGTTTGAGGATTGCCTGTTTTTGGTTAAAGGCACATAAATGTAATTCCTGTAAACCTGAGTGCACTTCAGTTAGGTGATTTATTTAATTCTTGAGTTCTCCTAAGGATACGTGGATTCAGCACAGCAGGAAAAGCAAAGATGAGACAAATTATCCTTAAAGACACAGTAACGAGCCAAACTGCCTAAAAAGGGCTTTTCTACAATGAAACAGTTTTACCTTCATCTCCTACATTTGTGCTTATTCTGCAGTAACAAACCAAGACTGCTGTAAAAAAAAACTATTTTAACTCAGCTATCTCCCGTCTAATGTTTTCAACATGAAAATAATAAGAGTAAAAAAATGCAAAAGCAGACTTTAAATAAAAGGAATAATTGAAAGAGTAGCTTCGTGACTGTGGAGCTGAACTCATCAGCAACAGGATCCTTTTGTGTCCATTTAAATTTAAGATTTATTAGATGATTCACACGATTCATTCAGTTCACTGGAGGCCTTGTTAGGAGTCCTCACTGGAGCCAATTAGGGACGCGTCATCGGGGTCTGGAGGAGCAGGAGCTCTTTGGGACTCTCTGAGGATTTGCTTTGAACTGTCCTCGTTTTGTCTCCTGTGGTTTCTTAACTGTGGATCCAGACTTTTGTCCAGTTTTTGTTGCAACTCCCTTGTGTAGTTCTGCAGCTTTTTTCTGAATCCTGGAAGGAAGAGAAAAATGTGGTTTTTAGTAGCTGACAATTTTACTTTCTATAACTTTTGGTAATCTGTGGTGAAATATGTTCATTCAGATTTTTTTAACTGATGCTACTGAAAGACGTTAACCATTCTTCTTCTGTGCACACTGTAAGTGGATACCACTTGTAAGAAGCAGGCTGTACATGTTTACTGTTACCATCTGTACAGACGAATGCGTTAAGGACTCACATCACTTCTCTCTTCCTATCCAGGGATTTTTGCGTTGCTGCTGACAGAGAACTCTTTCTTCTGGGATAACCTGAATGTCCATTCTAACAAAAAGCACACACATAAACACACTTAAAACACATTATTCTGCAGAATTAAAACAACTCAAAGGCTGAAATTACACAAATGATACAAAGTCCTCACTTGAAAATGGTCTTAGTAGAAGAAATAAAATAACCAGAGCTAATGCTATGCTAAAGAGCTCAAACCACACAGAGTGTCTGCCATTTTGAGAACCGAAAAAAGGAAGGAGAGACAGCCCATGTCACGTCAAGGGGCCTCCCTCCCATTTTTTTTAGAGACCCGCAGCTCACTCCCTCACTATCCATCCTTTGGTTCAAACTGTCTTACACTACCATCTAGTGGTAAAAAAAAATACTACACACAAAAATTAACCAACATTTCTTCTTAAATTTGACAATTACTAATTATTGTCAAATTTCAAATAATATTATCGTTAATCGCAATAATTTCTGAGATAATTAATCGCCCAGCAAAATTAGTTATAACAGGCCTACGTCTTCTGTGTAAACACGACACTCATCCTTCTCTTGTGTTTACAGAGCCGTACAAAAGAATCCATCCCTCTCTGCAATCTTTCTAGTTTATTTTAGCCAGTGATATACTGAAACATTCAGCTGATTCAGGAAATGGGTGCTTTGACTTCTGGTTTTAATAACTTTTACACTTTTTAAAATATTTAACTTTATTCACAAGTATTTTCTACATAAACACACACTGAGGTTTCTTCTTTTCCTTTAAAAACATTGTTCCCTTTGAAATCTGCTTCAAGATACTTGCTCTATAGTTGTCTTTGTATGCTATTTTAGCTTACAACAAGCATTTTGCTAGGTTAGCTTTTAGCTAGGCTTTTGTTTTCAGCTCTTTGATAGTGTTTTGTTATTTTAGCTTCCTGTTAGCCTTCTGCTAAAGCAATTTTTTAAACTGATAGCTAGCCTTTTGCTGCTTTAGCATATAGCTAGCCTTTGATACTTTAGATTACAATTAGCCTTTTACTACTTTTAACTTTAAGCTAGTCTGCTGTGGTCAGCTTTTTGTTATTTAGGCTTTCAGTTAACCTGTTGCTACTTTTATATTTAAGCTCGTCTTTTACTATTTCAGTTTATAGCTAGCCTTTTGTTACTTTTAGCTTGCCTTATTGCCTCATTGAAAAAAAATGTAACTCGGTTGTAATCTGATATTTTGTCTGGCAAAATTCTTGATTCATAAACAGAGAGTGCTAAAATCATCCCCAGTTTTTAACTTTTTTTAATCTGAATTCCAATTATATTTGAAATCTGAAATATTTTGAAACAGATAAAAACCTGTATGAAATGTTAATGGAATTGCCCACTAATCCATGTTAATCCTAACCCTAAAACATATGCCCCCTTGTTGTAGTTTATTTTATTTTATTCCTTCTTTTTTTTCATATCGAAGTCTGCCTCTACTATGCCCTTTTTAGTTACACTATTGTGAATTGCCATATTTGTTTGTACTTGTTTTTGTTAAATAAAGTTTTCTTTAAAAAAAACTTTTAGCTAGCCTTTTAGCTACTTTTCACTACTTTTACATTTAGCTACTTGTAAACACACAATAACTACGATCTGGGTAAGGTCTGATACTGACCCAGATGGTGCTGAATCTCACTGTTCTGCACCTGGAACACCTAATAATATTCTCACGCCAGGATTCAGAGCGCAGCGAGAAGTCAGTGTGTAGTGAGGTTACCTGTCGTCTGAGTTCTCTGTCTTTGATTAGCTCTCTGTCCCAGCTGATCAGCTGCATCCGCTCTCTGGCTGAAAGGCTGAAGAATATGTCGTAAACTTCATAACGTGCAGCGCGCAGCTGGAGAGGGAGACGATACGGAGCAGACGACGGTTTTAATGAACACGCGTGTAGTGACAGAAGTTAACAGCTGTGTTTATGACATGTGTTTGCTTTCTCACCTGCAGAGCGACTCTCTCCTGCAGTAAGTCGTCTTGTCGGCTGCAGAACTCTCCTCCCTGCGTCTGGAGCGCCCGCAGGAACTGCTGCGTGTCCTACATGAGCAAACACACACACAGCTGTAATCTGCATGTAGACAATGAGAACAACAAATAAAGGCAGCCGTTGAACAGAAGCCAGAGTTTTAGACTAAGATCATTTCTGTAGCCATCAGGTCAAACCTCGAAAATAATGTCATGCACGATCTCGTGTGAGACGTCACGCTCACAGATGACTCTCACGAACACACATCGATAATAAAACTGTTGTTTTTACTCACCCTGATGGTGCGGACCAGCTGTGTGACTCTGTCAGTCCTCAGCAGCCGACGAGTCAGAAAACCCTTCACAGCTGCTGCCAGCAGGGGGTGGTAGCGCTCCAGGAGTTGGCTGAGGGGCTGATGGAGACAAGAGAGAGGGGTGAATAATGATAACCAGAGGGGAAGAGAGAGGAGAATGCTAATTCCATCAATGACAACCAATTAATTTCACACACAGCTTCTCAAGGTCCTTTGGTTGGCATCTGTTTAGAGAATTACCACAAGTGGACCCGCAGCTCGTCATTATAACAGAGAATAATAAACGAAATAATAAGCAGCTGATGTTCCGTCACTCACTTGTTGATTCAAGAGCTGCTACAATAAATGGACATGTTTGTTAAACAAACGAAGTCTAACGGGAGCTAAAAATATCACAATAACACATGATTGATACTGATTAGGACTGCAAAATAAAATGATAAAAATGGGATGATTCGATCGTGATTAAAAACGGAGCTGACAAAAGGGCGAGCGGGACAAGATTTTTGTTTCACTGATTGGTGAGCAAATATGATAATACCTGGGAGAGGGTAGAGAAGGTCATCGTGTTCCCAGGACAAGAGCTTGACGTGGAGCGAGGAGACACATTCTGCAGGAGACGGTAACGTGCCGCCAAAACCTGAGACAGAGAGACAGACGGGAGAAAGGAGGGAAACATGAGGAGAAGTGTGTGTGTAGACACAGGTGTGTACATTTGGGAGAAGACGAGTAGAAAATATTGAATTGGAAAGGACAGCAAATGAGGCAGGAGGAAGAAATTAATTGAGGGTAGGGAGGAAAATACAGAAGGGAAGCGATGGGGCACAGAGGCAAGAAGGAGGAGACGAGGGACGAGTGAGATGATGAGACAGGAAATTAATACGCACAGTCAGAAAAAAAGATGTTGGTTTAAAATAAAACAAAGCCAGGAATGAGGAGAGCGAGAAAGGGAAAAAGAAAGGAGGAATCATTAGTGGTGGCACTCAGCGGGACGATCTGGCACTTAACCACAGACGCTCATGAATTAAACAAATTATCCTTTCCTTTTCTGTGTCAATTCCCTCGTCCCCCTCCTCCCTCTGCTGGAGAGTCCAGCCAGCTCGCTCTCATCACATCACAAATGATGGAAGGACAAAGGGGAGTCAAAAAGGAGTCTTCTTATTAAACAGCTTATGTTAATTATATTGTTGTTAAGGATACATAAATTAAACAGAGACCATAATTAACAGGGCAAGGACGCCGGCCAAGAACAAATGCAGACAGGAGCTGAAGAATCAGGAACAGGTTGCCAGAGAACAGCGGGCGTCCTTGAAGCCTTGCATGGTCACACACACACGCGCGCACACACACACACACATTCTCATACAAACACACACACAAAGAAACAGGCAACCATCCCAGCTCTTTTTTTTAGGGAAGTAATGAAACATTTATGGTAGAATCCCTCTTTTTTCTTAACGTGGGGAGAGTCTGAAGGTCCCCGTTAATGAGCAGATGTCTGTAGTCTGCCCACAACGCAGGAGCACAGTCCAACAGGTAGGGAGACAAATCGTTTGCAAATGCCAGTCTGCTGCTTTTGGAGTCAAACGAAACATTTGGAGTCAGTTTTGTATCAGAGTTCAGTGAATTTTATTGAAACTCTTACAGCCCGACACAAACGGTGCAGCGGACGCTCATTGTAAATCCTCAAAGGTGACTTTGGGTGGAGAGAAAAAGCTTGGGCAGTGTGAATTATGGCTGCCCTTCTGAAATTACGTAGTGGGAGATCTGCACGGCAATAAGTGATGCAATCTAATGCAAGCAGCAGGCCAATGAGTAGAAGGAAGCTTGTGTTTTTATGATATCTGGCCTCAGGGAAAATATTTGGCTGTTTTAGTTTCAAAAGCATGAAAATAATTTGAACTGTTATTTGCAATTAAAAACTGAGCATGACAAGTAATTCTAGGCAAGTTCTTTGTACTGAACTGTTTAGAGTGAAATTAACCCAATCGTCTAAATTATTCTTCCTGTCAATTGTTTTAAACCACCACTAATTTTAAAATACTTTGTTTCCAAGGAGCAACATTTTATTGTAACGTTTCATAGTATCTGTCAAAAGTTCTTCAAGTTTTCTGAAGGCCTTTAAAGTTTTTCTTCAGACTTTAGTTGATTTTTCACTCGTTCTCTGCTCAGTCCTTGCACCTGACCATGACAGCACGTTGTGCAGTGTGCGCTTAAAAATGAGAAAAGTTGACAAGTGGGAAACAAATGAAGAAAAATAAAATCAACAGCAGACATGAACCTGAAAGTCAGGTCTTTGAGAAATGGGAAAAATAATCTAATAAAGACCTGACTCAGGACCTGAGAGATGCATCATCCTTCAGCTGATCACCTGCACAGCAAGTTTTCAGCTGAAAGCTCTTTGGGAATCACCTTGTTGGTAAAATATCATTTTATCTTTTTAGACAGTACTGCTTGAGTTCATTTTCACAGAAATTTGAACAAATTGTCTTTTTGGGGCAGGTTGATAGTCAAGTGTCTGAGGATCCAATTGTCTATTTGTTAAATCCAGTATCTCACTGCGCTGCGACTGTTGGCAACCAGTCGATAAACAGCGTCTCCAAAACGTCTCGAAACGCTCACGGGGGTTCTCTAATCCCTCGTTATTGTGGGAGGATGTAGGCAACAAAATAATGTGCACAGCATAGAGTAGAGTTTTAAAAGCCGTGCCACGATTGTCACAAACCGGCAGCTGAACACTCCGCCACACGACTTGCTGGATGAAAACAGAATTTAGCGAGAATGCAACAGAAAATTTGTCAATTTTCTCACAATTTGGCAATTTAGTCACCAAATCAGCCATAGCCCAGTGAGATAATACCTTAAGAAGCCTGTTATACAACACTGGTTTATATCATGAGTTATGTAAACATTCCTATAAATTTAGTCAGGTACAAGAAAAAAAGCCACAGTAGAAAATAAAAATGCTAACTTTTCAACAAAATGTCACTTCTTTAAAGACAAATATAAAGAAATGAGACGTGCTCATTGCTGAACTTTAATACACACAAAAATATTGATAACTGGGTCAGACACGGGAGCTTTTAGAACCTTTAAGGTAAGATTTCTGATCGGTCAGATTCATATCAGTGGTTAAAAAAAGCTACATACAAAAGGCTAATTTTCTGCCATGTAGGCATACGATTGTGTTGCAACACGAGCAGTGACTTGCAGCAGTTTGAGGATAAAAAGCAGTCTTTATTGAGCTTATCTGTGTAAGTGTTGCAAAAGTGACACAGTGTAAAATGAGATCACATCGTGTTCACTCAGACTGGTATACTTTTTAGGTTTGTGGGTCAATGACAAAAAAATCTACTTTCCTTGCGGCTCTATTCTGCTCACATGTTCGATTAATTTAACAACGACCACTGTCTGCTGCAGGTAAGACACTAACTGCTTATAAATACTTTTTAAAAAGCATCTAATTTTTAAAAAGAATATCACTTTAATGAAAGTGCCTCAAAGCACCACACAAACCACTTAAGGAACAAAGGACCGCCCGACTTCCCAAAAATATTCACAGACTGTTTGCATCCAGCCTACAGAGATTAGGATCAAAGCAGTTTTCTAAAATAAACACAACTGCTTGTTCTGTCATCTTAATAAGATTTACCCACCTGCAGAAGTTCTTCCTGCTGCTTCCTGTGTTTGTCCTGCAGAGCTCGGACCTGAGCTGCATGGGCCAGTTTGAGTTGCTCTTGCTTGTTCCTCTGAATGCCTTCGTGCAAACGCACTGCAGCTGGACAACAACAAACAAGACGAAACAGTCAAAAGCATCGTTATTTGAAATGAACAAATCATTTTCTCTCTGACGGGACAAAAATCTTATCCATCTAATGAAGAATGGCGACACGTGTAGTAGAACCATCAAACAGCTACTAACTCCCAAAAGCAGAGGGAACAAATAAATCAGTTAATTTGTTTTAATCACTACTAGAATTAAAGGTAAATGATTTAACCAAACAGTCCCATGTTAAAGACAATGTGGAACGAATAATGTCAACCATAGTCATATTTTGGACATGTTCCGTAATAAATAATAAGCACTATGTGTTGTCATCATTGTATGTTCTCATGCAATGGAGAAATTAGTTCTCTGCATTTAAACCAATGCACCTGAGATACACCCAGGTGGAGCAGTGGGCAGCTATGTAAGCGCTCGGGGAGCAATTAGGGTTTAGGTGTCTTGTCCTTTTGGGAATGAAATGAGAAGCAAATTAGAAAATATTCTGGGATGTGATGCGCTACAAAATGTCTGAATTGCATCTTGGTGATCTTTCAGGGGACTATGTTCAGAACAATAGATAAATATATGGTTCAGATTTTTACAGTGGCTTTAAAAACAGCAACAATGAGAAAATGGAATCATGCAGATGCATCAACTCTGAACAAACGGATTCAAACTTAAATGGAGACATTAACACAGACCACAGAGAACTCAAAAAATAAAAAATAAACCACTAATAACAGCCTTGAACTTCTGTGCTCTTACCTCTTGGGGTGCTGGAGTTGGGCCTGACTACAGAACTTGCTGCTCCGCTTCCATCTGCGCTGATTTCCTGGGTCCCCTCTGCCACGTGCATGAGCAGCCTACGTTTGACCTTAGAAACCCCTCCTTGTCCTTCACCCCCACTCTCCGGAGTTAGATTTTTCTCCTGACCAAGATGACTTTGCGAGCCCAGGTCGTATCCTGATCCTTCCAGGAGCCAAAGGCCAGATGGCCTCTCCACATCATATGACTGATTGAGAGACGGGGAGCAAACAGAACCCTGACCTTCAGCAGTCACCTCACATCTCATTAACTCAGGATGGTTACTCTGATCGGAAAGTCCCGAAGTGTCGCAGGAAAGAACGTCTTCGGTGGGAACGCTACGGAACATGTCAGGGACGAGCATCCGCTGTGCTGCAGATGTTAGACATTTAGCAGGGTCTTGCTGCTTTGAGGAGGCATCGCTCCGAACAAATCCTTTTGCACATTTGTCTCTACCTTTATCTCTTCCTGTAGCTGCCGTTATGCTCAATTCGTCTCGGTTTAATTTCACCATCTCAGGTGCTCTCTCCTGAACTGTGAGACAAACATCATCTATACCAATAAAACTTACAGACTCTGAATCTTCATGAACATTTTTGAAATCAATAAAAGGCTGTCTCTGTAACCCCCTGCCATCTGCATTGTTGTCACCATCATCACCACAAGCCTGCTCGTCCTCCAAACAACCAAAACCGTCTCTCTGCCCGAGCTCAGATTGCTTTATGCCTTTCAAACCCGACTCGCTTAGCACGTTGCTCTCAGTTTGATTGTCCAAGTTTTCCTTCACCGTGAACTCCAGATCTGAGATCAGTACCTTCAGACTGGACAGATTGGACTCGAGCTGATCTATGTGCAGGGAACTTCTGGCAAAGACACTTGTGACGTCATCTCCAACCGTGATATTCACAGATGAAGGAACGGCTTTCTCTTGGTTTAAGTCTGAGTTTTCAGTCGATGTCTTCTTCTCTGCAACAGTCAGCTCACCTTTGGGACCATCTTTGCTCTTGCAGCGAACGGGACTTCGACAGAAGGTAGGGACTGGAACAGGGTGATTTTTACTAACTCCTTTATGGGAACCTCGGAGACATGGGATGGTGTTAAAGGTTTCTTGGTATTTCTCTGCTGATGAGGGTTGTTGCTGGATTAAACTCCTGCTTTGTTTAGACTGTGTTATAAACTCCTGCAAACTGTTCAGCTTGTTTTTTAAGGTTGTTTCTTCTTCAACACTCATCAGTTCTGTGATATTTCCATCTTGTGTTACACATTCTTTTCTAACGTGTGCCGTTTCTCCAGAGGCTTCGCGCTCAGTCGTGTTTTTTTCCACTGGCGGGATGGAATTGCCTCTTTGTTCTTTAGTTTTCTTGTCCTCTGCAGTACGGGTGCCCTTGTCCTCATTCTCCTTATCAGAGAGGCTCTGCTCCTCTGTCTGGGCTTTTGGCTGCTCTTGGGTCTTCTCCTGGATTTTAGTGTTTTTGGCTTGGTTCCTAAGCAGCCGCTGGCGCCGACGATACTCCTGAGATTTCTTAAGTAAGACCTGGAGGCTCAATGGATGAAGCTCCTCAGATTGCTTTGTGCTGGACGTGTTGATCTGGTCGTCTACTGGTTCTGGTTTACTGGAGCTTTTCTGTGGTTCTGGCGTCAGACAGTGAGGGTTAATTAATGTCTGTGATAAATCCAGATTGTCTGAAAAGCCAGTTTTATCTGGCAAAGTAAGTAATCCTTCATTTCTTTCCGTATTGACATGGTCAGAATGATCAGGTTTGAGAGCAAAGGGAATATATTCTTCAAGCTCTACACTCTCCAGGAGACTAAGTTCAATTTGTTCTGTGTTTCGGAGGTCGCACGTCAGTGAATCGTTTTGAAACGAGATGTCACAAATATCTTTAACTTGTAAAAATACAGACTCCAGCTCGCCCCTTTCTAATTCCTCTCCATCTATGGGAGGGTGGTTAATAATATCAGGCATCTTGGAAATTGTTTTTGAGGTGTTGTGAAGGAAAAAGCCACACTCGTTACCAATTTCCTCAGAGGAGCTGAAATCACATCTCTCTGGTCTTGATTCAGTCCATTCAGACATGGAGATGTTTTCAGGATTTTCATAGGTCACATAACCCGAGGACGGTGACGGGCGGCTTTCACCATTGAAGGAACATGGCTGTGATTCCTGTTGGCTGTCATGTTGGTCATTAAGAGATCCTTCATGAGGTGATCCTTTACAAGAATAAAAGGCACTGTACGTTGTGGAAGTCTTTGGAGGAGGAAAAACAGCAGATGCTGGTGAAAGACTATCCATGGTTCCAACGAAAATATCACTGTGGGAAACCTTGTTGGAATTTTGGGGATGTAAAAATTCTTTCCTGATCTCTGACTCTTCAAGTAACTCCTCGAGTGTTGGCGTCTTTCTGATCTGCACAGACACAAGAAAGGTTTGAGATTAGGCAAAATCTTATTCTGATTTATTCTAAATTATGTGACGCATCATACGTATGCACCACATATTTATTTCCATTACAGTCTCTTTCATCAAATATGGTCTGTTGTATCCCAAAAGGTTCCTCTTCAAAAAGACTTTGGTTTTAAAGTTTTTGTAACATCGGAGGTTTAACATACGAGAAATATGTTTGAAGATGGGAATTACGCCGTTATTCTGAACATGAAACTGAAACATTCTGAAAAAATATTGACAAGTATTAACCTAAATCCTTACAGTTTAGATTTTCTTATAGCTGTGAAAGACTGTTTATTGATTATAAGTTGGTGTAACCTTACATTAATTCTTCCACTATATGAACTTCTCTAAAACAAATGGTGCATCTTCTTAGAGAGGGACCTTGTGACATATCTTGAAATCAACTAAAAATCTTGTTATTTTTATGTTTAATTTCCTTAAGGTTCCAGATTCAAATGTATAATTTTTTTTTAATGTGACTTTAAAAACATTTTGTAAGTCTGGGTGCCTTTCAAATCTATGCATAATTATTTAACTGAGGTCATGGTCACTTTATGTTATAAATTTTACTTTAAATAGTCACCATAAAACTGAAAATGTGCTTTTCTCCATTATTGAGACTTAAAATCCACAAAAACCATGAGTTTGTGATTCTTTAAAATTTGTGACATTAGTTTTGAACACTAAAAGGAAGTGATAGTCACAAAAAAGCTTTAAACCACAAAACAACAAAGTTCATAACTTTTATGGACAGAATTTCTAGGCGCAGCCAAGGTGTTGAGGGGATCCGTTTTGGTGGCCTCAGGATTGCATCTCTGCTTTTTGCAGATCATGTGGTCCTGTTGGCTTCATCAGATTGTGATCTACAGCTTTCACTGGAGCGGTTCGCAGCCGAGTGAGACGCGGCCGGGATGAAGATCATTTCCTCCAAATCCGAGGCCATGGTCTTGAGCTGGAAAAGGGTAGAGTGCCCTCTCCGGGTCAGGGAGAAGGTCCTGTCCCAAGTGGAGGAGTTTAAGTATCTTGGGGGTCCTGTTCACAAATGAGGGAAAAATGGAACGTGAGATCGATAGGCGGATAGGTGCAGCGTCTGCAGTGAAGCAGGTGCTGTACAGGTCTGTCGTGGTGAAGAGAGAGCTGAGTCAAAAGGCGAAGCTCTCAATTTACCAATCGATCTACATTCTTACCCTCATCTATGGTCATGAGCTTCGGGTTGTGACTGAAAGAACGAGATCTCGGATACAAGCGGCCGAAATGAGTTTTCTCCGCAGGGTGTCTGGGCTCTCCTCTCCCTTAGAGATAGGGTGAGAAGCTCGATCATCCGGGAGGGACTCAAGAGTAGAGCCGCTGCTTCTCCACGTCGAGAGGAGCCAGTTGAGGTGGCTCGGGCATCTGGTTAGGATGCCTCCTGGACGCCTCCCTGGTGAGGTTTTCCAGACATGTCCCACCGGGAGGAGGCCCAGAGGAAGACCCAGGACACGCTGGAGGGACTATGTTTCTCGGCTGGCCTGGGAACGCCTCGGGATTCCCCCGGAGGAGCTGAATCAAGTGGCTGGGGAGAGGGAAGTCTGGGCCTCCCTACTTAGGCTGCTACCCCCGCGACCCGACCCCGGATAAGCGGAAGAAAATGGATGGATGGATAACAAAGTTGCTAAACCCTTTGAATAATATTGACATGAGTACAATATTTTTTTCTTTTTTTGTACAGCATGAAGGATTCCTTATTATTGTTTTTGGCACATGCCATGCAATAAGGCTTCCCGCTTACTTTATAAAGGTTGTTTAGCATCTTAAGATTGAAAAAAAGTTACATTGTTTTATTCATTCTAATCAACAACTCAAGAGAATGAACAATAAGTGGGATGTTTTTTTAAACTCATAGTCAAAGACAATCACAGAAACCAAACGAATTAGATTAAATTTCAGTCTGACTGGAGGGTTTAACAGGATAACTCAGAACTTTACCTGAACGCTGTGCAGAAGAGTTTGCACGTAGGCCATTCTGGGATCATCTTTGAGTTTTTTATGGACTGTACATTTCTGCATTTCATCTCTGTGTCGTCTCATCTCCTCTCTTTGCTTCTCTGAGAGCTGTCATCAACAATAACAAAACTGGTTAAAGCTTCATAATCCCCAATGCTTCCATTATTTCAGCTCTTAACAATGTTCTAGTAACACACCAGACATGACTGATGAAACACAGTTCAACTGAGAAACTCAACGATCACCTTGTGGAAAAATCTATGAATTGTTTACTTCATAAACAGGATCAGTTTATCTATCTACACAAAGAGGACCTCAGAAAATGTTTCAGTACTTCTGCTAGGATGATCAAACCTTATTCCAGTTATAAAACCTTAATCATACCAGAGGAGGAAGGATGGGTCGCCCATAGAAGCGGATAGATGATGCAGATAAAGGTTTGCCGTCTTTCTGCTCCTCTTCTTCGTGTTTTCTCAATTGAGAGAAACAAAGCTGCACAAACTTGTCATAATCCTCCATTACGCTGCATTAGATAAGCTGTAAATGTGGGTATTTACAGGGCGAATAATTAACGTTAAGGTTTTCTAATGTTAGCAGTCGTGGTACACTAGTTAGCAGTAGCTAACTTAGCTAGCTAACTTGGTTAGCAAAACATCTGTTGTTTGTGGGCTAGCTCGTCTTTATTACAAACTGCTGACGCCAAAATAGTAAAAAAAAAAAGAGGCTCAGCACAAATTAAAGCGGCTGTGCAAAGTTCCTTATTTACAGAAACAACAGAAGGAGGTCTAGCGACGAGCTACAAGACAGAGACTCCATCGTGCCGGATCAATGTTTACATTTTACCCGCCTCTCCCAGAGCAACGCACCGTGACAGTTGGAGAGACCCTTAAAACATCCAAACAACCCGGACTGGATTTACCAGTAAAACCTGAACCGGACTCAGTAATAGATCGTTTAAAAGTTACTAATGCGCATGCGTACAATCAGAGCACCACGCCAATACTTTTATGGCTTTTTCCGGTCTTCAAAGTCTGCCTTCATTTCTGTTGTTTTGGTCCTTTTGGCTTTATTGCCTTTCATGTACACACGTATTTATAAATTAGTTTAAGTGATATTATATTATTATTGATAGCTAAGTGTCCTCATTAGAATAACTGCAGAGATCAACACTGAACTATTTCAAGAAACCGGAAGTAGGCATGAATATATATAGATCATAAAATTCTGACTTTGAACATGCACAAACATTAGTAACTAAAGATGAATGGAAGTCATGAAGTGCCCCCCCCCCTCCCCCACCAAAAACAAACAAACAAACAAAAAAAAAACTAGAAAACAGGAATGGAATATCTGAAATATTGAAATATATAAATAAATAAATGAATAAATAAAACATACAGTAACTATTGAAACTCAGGAATACACACAAACACAAGTATGTATTTGTACTTTTATTAGGGCATTATTTTGACTTGCATTCATTTCTGTAGACCAACCCAGATTTTAACCCTAAACAAGTACCTGTACAGTAACCTGAATTCAATTCACACTTTAGACCCAATGTTAATTCTGACCCAGAAGATAATGTATTAGCACTGAGTTCTGGTCCTTACCACTGGACCTGTCAAGGTAAGAGATTACAACCAAAAAAGATTTTAGTTAAAAAACCACACACACATGCATACACAAATAAACACAATAATAAAAACTTTATGAACATAGCAAAACCTAAAAAACCCAAATACAATATTAGATCTAGTTAAGCCCTAAAATACACATTGCAAAACAAACAAACAAACAAAAAATCATAAAAAAAATTGTTTCTCTTGCACCTCAAGGCCTCTGTACTCTTCAACAAATGCAAAGTTTAACTTTCAAAACCCCGTTTTATATTTTAAACATCATTGTGAAACAAGCTTTCAATTGTTTAAATACAGAAAACAATGTTTTTTGTTTTATTTTGTATAAAGAGAATAGCTCATGATGATAATTTAACAGCCTCCATCAATGGTGGATACATAAGAAAAGTCAAAATGATAAAAGTACAGAATCTGATTCCCAAATATAAACAGTAACCAATAACCATTGGTATCATACAACTAAGTAAAAAAAACATACATATATTTTTAATTGATTTATGTAATTTTGCACTTGTGCAATTTTTTTTTACTTGATTTGAAATTATTATTTTTAATTAAGCAAACAATTTAAATATGTAATTTAAAAGCTTCTAAGTGAGTATCAAAGGAAGTGAGATAATTATGATGTTAACTTTGTTTAATTGGAGACAATTGGACGCTAGTTTCTTTAGATAAAGCAGTTTTGTTTCCAGTTATTGAAAGTTAAGTAAATAAATCTCACTTTAGAAACGTGACAGAAAGTCCAAAATGCAAACAGACTAATATTCCTTCAGCAAACTGTTCCTGATAAATGCTTTACAAAAAATTTTTTTAAATTTTTTTCTTTTCTTTTCTAAAACATAATCCCTGTGTAAAGTAAAAAGATAACTCATAATCAAAATATATTTCAAAACAATCAAAAAATGCTTCTTAAATGATAAATTCTATACATGAAATGCACAATAAACACAGGTTATTGCTTTTTAAAACATGTTTATTGGTCATATACAAAATAAAGTAAGCTGTTTATCAACAAACCTACACTATATACATCAATAAATTAAAAAGATGCATTGGACAGATGATGAAACTGTTCGTTTCAGGATTACCGTCACCTCGTCATCATCACTATCTACAAACTGCAACAAAAGGACAATAATTTAGATGAAGATAAATACCTACAAAGACTGTTACATTTCAAGGTTTTTCTCCCGTTGACAGTATCTGTATTGTATTATTTAATACACCCCATATAGAAATATTACAAAACACAGAATTTACACTTCTGTATAGCTTTAACCCGACCACTGTACTTTTAGAAACATATACCAGCTTGTAGATGATTAAAACAATTGATCAAGGGTAAATAAAATTAGGCTTTTTGGTACAACAACAACCAAAATACCTGAAATCTGAGTGAAAATACTTGTTTGATGTGTGGCAGCGAGAGAGGAAGACACAGTGGCAGATGAGGTAACTTAGGAGGCCAAACCCACATTATTATTGATGAAAACACGGAGCAGACGATCAAAGGAATCCTTGGTTCATTTACTTTCATCGATCTGGATCTGCGGTGGGTGAAAGGGCTTTTAGAGTCCAATGGCGTGATTCACTGGACAGGAAAAACAACTGAATGACTACATACTGATTGGCCAAGCAGCAAGATAAGAAGTTAATGATTTGCGTCTTCAAGAAGAAATGGATGCTTTGAGGAAGAGCTTGGTAGGCCGCCGAGTTTAACCCTTTTATGAAAGAGCACGGAGTGAGTGGGGTGGTTAAGAGTTTTATCAGATGTGTCTCACCACCTCTTTCTGAGCCTCTGTAAATTATTTATAGCTCCTGAGTATGAGCGGTTGCTCTGGTTTGTGATGAAATGCCTTATCGTAAGGAGGTCATGACCCCGGAACATGCTGTGGAAAATAAGGTCAGCGTGTCTTACAGCTCATAAACGCTGTTATGAAAAGCCCGCGCGCTGCCCCGTCTGATTATCACTGAAGGTCGGTGCTGTCAGCTGATTGTGTCTGCTGAGTGAAAACCAGGATTACAACTTCAGTAATATTTAACCTCACTTGTCTGAAGAGCCCACGCGTTGGGTAACGCCACGAAAAATAAAAAGAAAATGTCTGGAAGACAGAAATTCTCAGCTTCCCTGGAGGCGTTGTGCGACAGTTATATTTTCATTGTGTCTTCCTCTCAGTTGGGAACGAATAACAATAAATTCAATGGTTTATTTTGTCACAGTAAAGTTGTTAAGTGAAACTGAGTAAAAGCCACAACACAGGCCAAATTTAAACAGAGGCAAACTGACTGTGAATCTATATTTACGTCTAAAATGCTCTTTAACCTCGTCACATTACGTCACACCTGCATTTAAAAACAGGCAACGTGACAGAACACTACATCTCCTGTGAGGCCGTTTTTTTTCCGTTTACCCTATGCAGTTTGCATCAATAAATCTGTCCATTGAAACAGCAGCCATATTGACACTTATTTACCTTTTTCAAACTGGAGAAGCACAAAAAACACAAAACAGTCTGATCGAGGCACAAACAGTTTGTACGGTTTGACAGTCTGGTGCTGTTCCTTTCTCTTTTATCAAAAACGCCAGAAAAACAGAAAAATAAACATTGAACAAACATTAATACACAGATAAAATGCAAAAGATAATTAAATAATGGGATCTCTTTCAAAGCAGGAAACACGAGGTCTGTGTGCGACGTTGAAATCTGCCTGTGGCTGACGGCAGATTACTGAGATGCATTAGTTCCTCTCGGATCACGCTTGCCTGAACATGCGAGTGGTTACCTATTTAAAGATCGTGGAGAAATTCCTCAGTCTGTGTTCAATGTTTAAACTTGGTTTTATATTAATGTTTTGTATGGGTCACAACAAAGTTGCTCACCTTGACAACTGCTCAGCCAGTGTTTGAGAAAGTGGAGTTCGGGTAAAAGAGTGAGTTTCAAGGCCGTGGGAAGTAGGGCTGCGGAGGGTGCTGCAGCCCTGTGGTGTTTAAAACAGCTTTCTTTAGTGTTGCATGTGTTTAAATGGTAACAATGAGTTTTGTAACACAAACCTGTTGTTAATCTGTGTGCAAAATTTAACAATTGCAAAGTGGGCAAATTAAGTCTCAATTAAAATTTTTACACGTTTTCTAATTTTCATAATCAAATATAACATGCACCGAGTGTGCATTTCATTGCTTAGATTTGGTATCACATATCATTCATATGGATGTTGAGGGTCATAATGTTAAACATATTCACAGCATCCTCCCAGCTAAAACCTGTTCCCACAGCTATGATGAGTTTGTAATGTTTTATTACTGATATTTCATTAAAACATCTGGTTTAAATCAGGCTTAAAATTATGTTTGAGCCAATCGTACTCAAAAAGATGGGCTCTCTGACAGACGGGTCATTAAATAGCTGAATACACGTCTTCACTTTATAAAACACTACACAGATTTACAAAAAGTTATTTCACTTCCCTGACACTTCTAAAAACAGCTCAAAAAACAAACACAAGAACAACATTAAATACACATAAAATGTGCACAGCAAAAACAACGCATCTTTGTCGCACACTACAAAAAGAACTTGAAGGAGTGGAGGTGAGGCAGCCGTAAAGCCCTATCACAGTTTAACTTTTTTTTAAAAAAAACTGAAACAAATGCCTTGAATACATAAAATCAATGAGTCGGTGAGGGAAACCAAACATGTTCTCACCTCAGAGATTTAATCTGCAGCAGGCCCCAAACCGACCAAATGCAAAATATGTCAAACAGCTGATCAAAGTGAACTTTGAACTTATACCTCGTAAGTGCAGTTGAGCAAAACATCTGACAGGTCTGACGTGAGGGAGCTACATGACGGGGCCGTGGGGACAAAGATTAGATGATTAGAGAAAAGAGTGCAGTTACCCATTATGTCATCATCCTCTTCAGCCCCAAATCAAACACATATCAAAGCCATAGCCATAAAATAGTTAACGTTATATCACCTGGTCACATACCTACACAGCACACCACGCGCTACTCCACCGTTACACACACTGCCTAGAGTCACTAAAGAAAAAACAAAGCTATTCAGTAGTTAAGCCACTTTTGGTACAATTGCAAAATAGAGAGAGATGCTGTATATCAAACAGATTTTGTAATACCTTTTTTATATATTACAAACGATGTAAAGATATTTGTTTTTATAAAATTACAGACTCCACTATAGACTCTGAGTATAGAACACCACAAAGGACTGCTTTATGGCAAGCCAGGGTGAAGTTACAGCTCATTTGTGTGACTGGAAATTCTTTGAGTTGGCTGATTTCTCTGTCGGGCACCAGATCTGAACGTGAACTGTGAGCTTTGGTTTACACTGCATTCTTTTTGCTTTTAACCACAATCTGATTTTAGACCAAAAGATCCCCCAACATAACCTCAGAGTCTCATCTCTTCTTCTTTGCAGATGATGTGGTTCTGTTGGCAGCTTTAGGTTGTGACCTTCAGCGTGAGCTGGGGCGGTTCGTAGCGGAGCGTGAAGCAGCTGGGATCACATTCAGCTCCGTTAAAGCCCAAGGCCGAGGTTCTCAGACAAAAAAGGTGGGCACTTCCTCCGTGTTGAGGGTGAGTCTTTTCCTGAAGCGGAAGAGTTCAAGTGTTTAATTCATGAATGATGGTAGGATGGAGTGAGAAATGGTTCGACCGGTTTGGGCTTCGTTCACCATACTGAGGGGACTGCTGTGGTCCACGATGGTGAAAGAAAGAGTAAAGCCAAAACGGAAAGCTCTCAATTTACTGCTCTTACTACGTTTAACCTTTCATTCATTCATTCAACCTTCATTTATACAGGCTAGTCTCATTGAGCCACGAGGATTTACAAGAGGAACTTGTTCCAGATAGAGCCATTTCACCTATGGTCCTGAGATATGGATGGTAACTGAAAGAACAGGCTCTGGATGTAAGTGGCCGATATGAGCCTCCTTCGTAGGGTGGCCGGGTTCAGCCTTTGAGATAAGATGAGATGTTGTCATACGAAAGAAGCTCCGAATAGAGCCGTTGCTCCTCCGATCGAAAGACCCAGAATTCACGGGAGGGATCCTATAAATCTCTGGCCTGGGAAGACCTTGGGATCTCCCAGTAGGAGCTGGGGAGAGGGATGTCTGGGTTGCCTCGCAACCTACCCATGGATAAACGGAAAAAAACTGATCGATGGTTCGAAGATTCCCATTAGCTGTAGCCTCCATTTTGTTAGCAACCAATTAAAATTTGCACAAAGTGAATTGAGTAAAGACTAAACAGATATACTGTACTTCTCAAATAAATCTTATTTGATTCACAGCGAGGATAAATAAGAGTTCCTTGTTTTTAGAGTAAATTGAATTTCAGTCACATAAATGAGTGATGTTAGTATTCAATCCTGATGGCTACTGCACAGCTCAAACAATGACGCACAGCGAGTTAACTGCTGCTACAACCTGATTTACATCTGCACTGAACATCCACCATCCTTCCTCGGTTCGTTTTGACCTCCTTCTTGATGCATATGATTAAAAGACCAAGGCACTTCCCTATCCAAATTTCTTATTTGGTGAAACTTAGAAAACAACTTCCAGATCAAGCGATCATAAGCCAATTTCCAATCATTTGTCCCACAATTAATTTTTTTTTTAGAAATTGTGCGTTTGTCATTCCACTTTTAGTTAAACTTATTTGCTTCGTACACTTCTTTCTGATAAATCCAGGAAGTACTGCATGCCATATTGGAAGCCAGTTGGAATTAGGGGTGGGGGGTGTGGGGGGGGGGAGGACAGAGAAACAATAGTTGAGCGATAAAGATAGAGTCACACATTAAAAGTGAGGGGACTTTAGAAAAAAGTACAGCTAACTATAGCGATACCAGAACAAACACGCGGCACAGAATTTCACAGAATTCCTGATATATAACAATTCACACACAGAGAATACACTTTGGACCTCATGTGAATGACAACACAGTACAAAACAGTAGAAATACAGTTACCGACATTGTATAATATATATTTTTCTATAGTACTTTTCTCAGAAAGTTCTTGTGCAAGGTGGAACAAGATGGAACTGCAGTGCAGCCACTGTAACCAGCAGGTTACATAAATGGTAAATTTCTGCCAGTAATCTGTAAGAAAGTCTTGTTGATTCTGATACATACCAAATGTATTATGTAAGCTTTTTAGCTAAGGTGCCTAATTTGCCTCATGTGCAAAAGTTAATCATAGAAAAACTTGACATTTCTTGTTTTAAGTTCAGCGTTTTGGACATTTAGAGTAATTAAATATAACCTCATGACAAGATCACCAATTGTTTTGCGTTGATTCATTGGCTGTAGGAACCCTGTGTATTTGTTCTGTACTCAAGGATCACATCCTGACCAGAAGCTTCTTGATAGACCGAATAATCCTCCTCTACTTCCTTCCTCACTTCATCTGCACTGATCTGAGACTGGTGATGAAAACACGCTGATGCGACACAACCCAGCTGTTTGAAGCCGGTGCAGGTGGAGGAGAGGGAGGATTACTCTGATGCAGCTGAACTCCATCCTGTTCCACCTTCATCGCTCGCTCTTCGCCTCAAGACCGTGCATCCGTCTTCGACTTGACTATTGTAATCACGCTCGTCGCCGTCGCTACCTTTCCCGGTATAAGTGGACCGATGACAGAAGACGCCACCCCTCCTCCTCCCCCTCCAGCCCTCACCCCGACCCCGACAGTAGGGCTCCGTGCCACAGTCCTGGCGAAGGTCTGCAACGCCTCGTACTTGGACCTCAGAGCGTCCAGCTCGATGCGCATTGATGCATTCTCATTGGCCAGTTTGTCCACCTCCTGCTGCAGCTGAGCCTTCTGCTTCTCCAGCTCCTCTTTCTGGGTGACTCGCTTCACCCGGCAGCTGGCAGCGTAGCCCCGGTTCTTCAGGGTGCGCCTCCTCTGCTTTAGTTGGAGGATCTCTTCTTTGGAGAGCCCTCGGAGGTGCTGGTTCAGCTCGCGTACCGACATGGTCACCAGCTCCTCATCCGTGAGGCTGGTGCCATTTTCTCCTGGCTCCCGCTTCACCTGGTGGAAATGGGAAGAGGGAGGGCAGTGAATCAGGGTAAACCATCAAACTAAAATCCAGAAATTTCTACTGCTTTTACCTTTAAGGCTTTATTTACTTTGTTAGGCGTCGTCATGCCACAAGAGCTTTGCTCTTCTGCACAAACCTACAGACACAGGAGAGGATAAAACGTAAAACACCACACAGAGGAAACTACAATCAATGAAACCAATGTGTTGAGAAACAGTTATGGTTTATTAGTATGATCACACTTATTACAAAGTAATACCTACCAAAGCAAACGGAGCAATATTAAATCTAAATCTAGGATTGTGGCAATGTTGAGGGAGCATTGTTGTAGACTTGCATCTAAGATTGCATGAGTGAAAGTGACAAACGTTTCTTAGAATTTCCCTGACTTCCTGTTTCCTTGTGGTTTCACTCACAGTGCCCACTACCTTCGTGCTCTTGAACTCTCATTGGCTGGCTTCAGGCCAATAGGAATAAAGTAAAGCGCAATAGAAAAGGAAGTGGTCAAATTTGTGGGAAGGACTCCAGAGGGAAACTAACCGTTACAACCCTTTTGAAACACGCCTTATCGAAGAGAAGTAATAAAACTGGTGCAACCCACACACCTATGGTGGATAAAATAAATAAATAAATAAAGTAGAAACAAGAAACAAAAGGATGAAGTCAGATGTGTGAATCCGAGGTCAACGAAGAGCACATGTGGAAGTGCAAAAGATGAGATCAGTCCTTAGAGCGCGCTGCTCCACCGATGAGCATCTCCACAAGCTCAATGACATGCTTTGTGTGTGTGTGTGTGTGTTGGCCTTGCTTTATCTCTAGATCTCTGTGTGTGTGTGTGTGTGTGTGTGTGTGTGTGTGTGTGTGATAGAGGCTATTGTTGCTGCTGATGCTGAGCGATCATCAAGAGACCTGTCATGATGACTCAGTAGATTACTTCTCTCCTGTCACACGAATTTCTGTTCTCTCACTTATTGTTCACCCTCCCCTTTATTTCAACACCTTCCTAAAATCTGAGGTCAACAAACTGTAGAAAGCCATCCATCCATCCATCCATCCATCCATCCATCCATCCATCCATCCATCCATCCATCCATAATCTTTACCCGCTTCTTCCTTTTCAGGTCACGGGGGTCACTGGTACCCAGCCATCACTGTGTGAGAGGCAGGGGACACCCTGGACAGGTCTCCGGTCCATCACAGGCACATTATAGAGACAAACGAGATAAACAACCATTCACTCTCTCATGCACACCTAAGGACAATATAGAGTTGACAATCACCCTAACATGCATGTTTTTGGTCTGTGGAAGGAAACCAGAATACTCGAATAAATTTCACGCATGCACGGAGAGAACATGCAAACTCCACCCAGAAAGGCCCTGGGCTGGGATTTGAACCAGCGACCTTCTCGGTGAGAGGCAGCAGTTAAAAGGGGAAAAAAAAAAAAAGGGTCAGAGACAACAAAACTGCATCTGTTTGGCTGTTTGGAAATAATAAAATGTCAATTTCAAGCATATTGGTGCACCTGGTATAGCAGTTTTTTTTTTTCTAATTTAACAATTAGACATCTCGTTTCTTTCCAAAAATATTCCTTTTTTTTTTCCACACCAAGGAAATTTTGCATATTTTTTTAAAAGTAATTAAAAATTTTAAAATGCTTCTTCTTCTGAGAAAGTGATGACTTTCACATGACAACAGTAGATAAGTCTCGTTTCATCTTTATTCATTGCTATTAAAAGAGGAACGGTGCTCATCATGCCAGAGCGCCTCCCCCACAATGCACCTCTGTCTGTCTGCAGGGGTGCGCGCGTGCCACAAATCCTACATTTATAAATAGCTGTAGATCAAAGAACATTGTGGCGGCAAACACATAGAACTCATTATGCATGTGCACAGAACCTGTCAATACACAGCAACTTAAAAATTCTGTTTAAGACTCTATATCGTGTTTAAGAATAAAAAACAACAACATACCATCTAATCCAGTGGAACTGCTTCTTTCAGAAGTATATGACTCAGATACATCCTGCTCTCTTTAATAAGTCAGAATAACTAAGTTACACGTGTTCTTCTTTTAGAGTGTAGAAAAAATACACTTCTCTCGTGTAACACTGAACTCGAGCATTTCGTTGGGATGCAGCCTCCCACAGCTAGAGGTGCATCTTCGCACAATAGATGCATCAAAGAGATGGTGAGGGTGGATGCTGGGGGCTGGGGGCGGCAAGTGAAAACAGAGGGGGCAAAGAAGGGGGCTGATTTCCTGGCAAGCATCGGCTTATTTCCCCTGTGCCGAACCCCCACAACCTCCATCGACACAGAGACAAAAAGCGAGATCACAGACTGCCACTATGCCAGTGGGGTCCAATAAAAACACAAAAATTATTTGCTGCCGGCATAAATATGAACATTTTCACTGTTTACAGAACTAATAGTTGTCAAAACGCACCATTTTACTATGTTGTTGACTAGAATTACGTGTATCATTTATGATTATAAAAACCCCACTAAATATATATATTCAAGGATTCAAGGTTCTTTATTTGTTATTCGAAACGAAATTGTGTTTACAGGGGCTACATTCAACAAAAGTATTAAAATGTAAAAGAAAAACAGTAATAAGACCTAAGATATGAACTAAGAAAAATGTTACTAAAAATACACTAAGCACTGGTAGCATAAAAAAAGCATAAAAACAATACACTGAATAGCAGCACGAGCATAAGTCTGAGTGAGCAGCTGAGTACAAATGAACACAAGAAACAGATCAGCAGCAACATGAAACAGATCAGCAGCAACATGATGTGATTTTTCAGTGATTATTCTGGTTAGAGATTCATAAGTCTAACAGCCTCAGGGTAGAAGCTGTTCCTCAGTCTAGTGGTTCTACACTTGCTCCTTAACCTCCTGCCTGAGGGGAGCGGGGCAAAAAGTGTGTGTGCTGGGTGAGTGAGGTCCTTCATGATGCAGGTGGCCCTCTTAAATGCATCTGGAGGTGTAAATGTCTGTGATAGTGGGGAGGCTGACTCCAACAGACTTCTGTGCAGCCTTCACCACTCTCTGCAAAGCTTTTCTTTCTGCAGTTTTGCAGCCACACGTTGATGCTGGAGCACAGGATTCTGGGGGCAGTGAGTGAAAACATGATTCACTACCAAAAATCTACCACATGATTTGTACTAAATCAGCAAAATCAGCTAAGTCACGTTTTGTTGACAACAATTACAAGCTGTTTGTTTACATTTGAACATTGATGAGTACACTTCAGACAGTCGCGAGCCGGTAAAATAATCCTGGATGTAAACGGAGTCAGAACAAGGGAATAGGAGACACCAGGACGAAAGGAAAAAGTTCAAGTTCTTTCTTCTTCTGAAAAGAAACAATGACTAAAATCTGAAAGGATGAGAATCGACAGATGTTTATGGGAGAGGAAAAAAGCAGTGGAGAGTGCTAAATGAAAAGTTGAAGTTAAGATTGTAATTAAAAGAGCTGTGTCAAGATATTCTGAACTCTAACGGGAGAATTTACTGATAATCCTCCAGATTAACAACAGATGCAGAAGTAGGGGCACCAGCGCCTGTTTTTATTTATGCAAATAGAAGCAATTATAATGATAAATGGTTCTCAGTACTAACGATCTCTGAGGTTTGTAACTTATTAAGGAGAACATCGGGGATTTCAAAATAAGTCAAATTTGAATAAAATGGTAAAATTAAAAAAACTATGGTTATCAGCTAAAGAAAGAACATATTTTTGCTGTTATTTATTTTTTATTTGTGTCAGACGTGCATTTAATTTTATCTAACACCCTGCTCCTTTTCTAATGTTTTTTAAGAGACATCTGGAGGTAAAAGTACCAAATCTGGTCATAAACATAGGCGTAGCCAGGATTTTATGAGGGGCGGTTCGTTTGAAGAAAAAGTGGACCTGTAGGACTACTCTGATTGGTTCATTGGCGGTGGTACACATAACTTCAAATGTGTAAACAAGCTAATTAGCTAGCTAGTTAAAACACTGCTGTGTGAGGTAAATCTGTGTTACCAAATAGGCGGTTGTGAGTGGAGAAAGAGCAACACACTGAGAGGGGAATAGCGTGTGTGTCCAGTCTTCTATTCAGAACTCATCCCAGACACGAACGAACACTTCGGTACTCCCGAGTCCCGCCCGAACATACACAAAAAAAAAAAAAAAACACCGAAGAAGAATGAAAGACGTCATCCTCTTAAAGGCACAGTACCACTCCTTAACTCTAACAACATAAATGCAAACTAAGCCCGCAAATAATAACATTACTTCAATTGCAAAAATAACTCATCTTTTTACTTTGCTTTGTTAGACATTGTTTTTTATGAATGAAATTAATGAATTGAAAAATACAATACAATCCACATCTACACATAAAAAAATGACACTATAGAGTAAGATTAAAATTTCTCAAGACAAATGTAGTTTTGCAAAACCTTTTTTTTTTACAATGCATAAGACAGTTTTGTCCAACATCTTATATCTCTGGATAGACAAGTGAGTCCAGCTCCATCCTCCTCGAGTGTTTGTTTGCAAACACATCAACAACTCTGTCAAGGTCAATGTGTTTGCTGTAGTGAATGAATCCACCGTGTTGCCTTCCAAGCCAGGACAGAGTGAACGTCGTCTTCACCTCGCAGTTCTATATCTCGCGGGAGTTGTAGGTGGGACTTCATTGGCAAAGTGGGCGGTTCGTTCGAACCCCCCGAACCCCCCCTGGCTACGCGCATGATAAAGGTCAACAACATACAATCCAACATGATAATTTTATTATTTTATTGATAGACACGTGTCTCTAACATGGACAGAGAGCGAGAAAGATAGGAGAAAGGCAAGAAGCAAGTAAAATACATTTTTATCGCCCGCTGCTGAGCATGATAATGTTAATTAATAATGTTTTGGTGTTTGTTTGTAGCATTACCTAATATATCTTAGATCTCATAAACCAGTGGATTGATTTTAATAAAGTTCTCAAAACACAATTCAAGATGGTCCCCACATTAATGGATATTAACCAATACAGAGTGGCTTTAAAATGTCATTTTTATAGGTATTGCGTGAAATCTGGTGAGAGAGTAGCTGAGAATCCTCCGCAGCACACTTACTGAGTGCTGTCACATATGAGCTCAACAATATGACAAGAAATTGTTAATAACGCCATTTAAAATGTTTTTGATCAAGCAGCCACAACTCTGATTCTTAGAACAAGATGATTTTAGTTCAAATCTTTGGCTTGAAAGGTGGTGGGTGATGTGCATTACTTCAAGAAATACAAGGTCTTTAAATGACAAATTATACATTTGTAGCCTAA